ATGTATCTAGGAGTCAGAAAGCTGCATCACTAACAAATTTCACATCCTGACTTACATATTAATTAAGTTCTTTTAAGGTTTACTAAAATTCTCAAACCAAGAAATTTACTGATACTATGACACAATTCAAGGAGGTTTACTTGTAACACCTAATTTTCCAGTTTAACAAAACATACCAGCACTTTACCTCCAGAATTTTGCCCTAAATCTGTCACTTGTAAAACAATGAAAGTTATCAATATTATTAGTAGAAACCTATTATTATTTCAGGGAGGGGTGCCCTCAGTAGCTTCCTAAAGCTAAGCACTGGTCAAGCAATGTCTTAGAGATATGTACCAGGTCTAGGACTCATCAATTACTAAAATGTTGATTTACAAAACCTGTACATCTTCAATTATGGCAGCTTAGTTTATGTTTATTAAATAGATTGTGAGTGGTGCTACAAGGCTTGTAAACTTTAATCAATGTAAACTATACCACCATGATTGAGGAAGATGTACAGATATTGTAAGTAGACTCATAGATGCTTGATGAATGCTAGACCATGTCTCTGAGAGAGACTCTTGCCTACTGGGGGCCAGGACCAGAATCTGGTTCCCTCAACGAAAGAAGAGAGCTGGGGATCAGAAACCTACAGTACAATATCTCGACAGAAGAAAATACTCCAGAAACCCTATTGCAAAACAAGCAGCTATGCAAATGAAAAGTGGGTTCCCAAGGGTAATGAGGCAACGATTGTAGCTGCAGTGCGCATACTGAACAACTTGTGCCTACTCAGCTAACAGCAGATGCCATCCTATGTGTCGCACCTGATTTCGAAAAGGGTGACTTGGCTTGGGAGCTCCTGTGACTTCATTGGATATGTGGCATTTTCTGATATTGGCCCTCTGCTTTGACCAGAATGCTTTCTTTGGCAGTAGCGTTATAAACCCATGGAACTGCTTACCTGCCGAAGCCATAAATGCCAAAACTGCAGCACTTATAAAATCCAGCTTGATAGCATCATGAGGGCAAATGGAGGAACCTTTGACAAGTCACCGGCTTCCTGTCCTCCTCGAGGCCACTAGTGTGTTAGTGGCACTCAGGTAAATTCAAGTACTGTTGCTAGGATTGGCTGTATGATAAATTAACAATTAATCTGAATTTACCTGAGGGCCACTAACACTAGTGGCCTCGATGAGGACAGGAAGCCCATTTTTGAAGGAGTTTAGCAATGACCTTTTTTGAGGTTTGCTAGTGATACTTCCATGTCATGTTCACCTATCAGCTCCCTCCAGGAGGGGTGTTTCAATTCCACTCTCATTCCTTGACAGTCTTCTCAATGGTAATCTAAAAAAAGACATCATCCTGGACCTTTAAGTGTGTTTCTGTAATTGTAATCCATCTTAGAATATTGTGATTTCACGACGGGGGTGAGCTTTTTCCCCTATCTGAATTTGATCGATCATGCCCTCTTCTGATGTTGCACAAGATCTAGAATGCTGTTACCTCGAGTGGACTCTGTCATATGTTGTATGAGAAAGGAGTTCTGCACCAGGTCAAGAAATTGTTCAGATTGTGATGTTAGAATTACCCAATCGATTGTCTCGTGGTTGTAGTTCCCCATTATAAAAGTTTGGGTTTGTGATGTAGCATTGATCACATGATGCAGATCAGTAACTTTCTCTGCTGTTGCTGTGTCTTCCCTGTATCATACTAGGTCCCACTGTCAATTTGTTACCATCTTTAGCTAATATATTGTACTATACAGACTGACGAACCCATGGTGTTCAATTCGTCATTGGTGGTTGCACTCAGGTCCTCTTTCACATAAAGCCACCTGCTCTTGAACTGTCCTTTCTGATTGGTGAATGATACCCTGGGAGGTTGAAATTCCCTTCAATATGCCTTCTGATGCCAATGATGGAATTCTTGGTCTCAGCGTATGCACACAGTGCATCAGATTTATTCACCAGGTTTCTGGCATTTATGTACCCACCTAGTTGTGCATACGGGGGTTGAGCTCTGGGTCTTTGGTCCTGCCTCTCAACTGTCGGTCAACTGGTGTACAGATTCCTGAACTTACCGGGCTCTGTCATATCTACATTTGAAACTGTATGGAGTCTGCCTCCACCACATCACTGCCTAATTCATTCCACCTGTTAACTACTATGGCACAGAAAATGTTCTTTCTAGCGTCCCTGTAGCTCATTTAGGTACTCATTTCCACCTGTGTCCCCTTGTTCGCGTACCACCCGTGTTAAACAATTTATCTTCATCTCCCCTGTCGATTCCTCTCAGAATCTTGTAGGTAGTGATCATGTCTCTCCAAGCTCTCCTGTCTTCCAGCGACGTAAGGTACATTTCACGCAGCCTTTTCTCGTAACTCATGCCTCTTAGTTCTGGGACTAGTAGAAGCAATTTGAGGACATAGTAACGATCGACGTGATTGGCATCTTTAAATTATAATATTTAACTTCCTTTTAGCTTAGGTTTAAATTTCGCTTCGACTTTCCAACAGTAGAAGTCAAGCCAGAGAGGATAGGGCTCTGTGGCCCAACAGAACTACAAGGCTTATTCCTAGAAGATCTTTTAGCCAAAAGAGGGCTTCACAGGAAACCCTGAGCCGTCAGGAATTTTTACGCAATTCAATCTACTGTATATACTGGAAGGTGTTCCGATAAAGAACGACGTGAAGATGGAAGGAGCTAATGGATTGGCTATATGACAAGTAACAGACAGAAACTAAACTATGTGCTCGTCTAGTTGTGCTTGCGCGGGGTTGAGCTCTGGCTCTTTGGTCTCGCCTCTTATACAATACAATAATACAATACAATTTTATTTAGGTAAGGTACATACATACAATAAATATTTACAAGGATTGTTTAACTTATAGGTATAGCTAGTACATACAATGCCTAAAGCCACTATTACGCAAAGCGTTTCGGGCATGATAAACTTAAATGACAAGCTTAATACTAATTGAGCATAATGAGTAGAATGAAAACAAGAAATGAAAACATAGATGAAAAAGCAGCACAAATACAATTATGTCGACAAACAGCGCTCTTTAAAGAAAAAAACAGACATTGGTTGACAATAGAAGGGTAAGGTAGGTTACAGGGAATTTATTAGGTATAGCTTCGCTTTTAACTTAAACTGGTTGAGAGAGGTACAGTCTTTAACATGGTTGGGAAGGTCATTCCACATTCTGGGCCCCTTGATTTGTAGAGCATTTCTAGTTTGATTAAGTCGTACTCTAGGAATATCAAAACTGTATTTATTTCTGGTGTGATGCTCATGGGTTCTGATACAACCTTCTATGAAGCTTTTGAGATCAGGATTGGCATTATAGTTTAGCGTTTTATATATGTATAATACACATGAGAGAATGTGCAGTGACTTAATGTCTAACATATTCAGAGATTTAAGTAGGGGTACCGAGTGATGTCTGGGGCCAGAATTGGATATTGTCCTAATAGCAGCTTTGTGTTGAGTAATTAGAGGACGTAAGTGATTTTGGGTAGTAGAGCCCCAAGCACAAATACCATAGTTGAGATATGGATAGATAAGGGAGTAATAGAGAGTCACCAGGGCAGGGAGTGGTACATAATATCTGATCTTAGAAAGAATGCCCACAGTTTTTGAAACTTTTTTTGATATGTTTAGAATGTGTCCCTGGAAATTAAGCTTGTGGTCAATGAGAATGCCAAGGAATTTGCCATCTAATTTGTTACAAATTTGGGTATTGTTTATTTTGAGATTTATTTGATTAGAGGATTTATTGCCAAACAGAATATAAAAGGTTTTGTCAATGTTAAGGGTGAGTTTGTTGGCAGTTAGCCACAGATGGACTTTATTTAGCTCAGTATTTACTGTGGCATTTAGAGCAAGGGGATCAGGACTGGAGTAAATGAAGGTTGTGTCGTCAGCAAATAGAATTGGTTTGAGGTGTTGGGAGGCATTTGGAAGGTCATTAATGTAGATGAGAACTATCTTAACTATCAATCAACTTAACTTAACTCTTAACTATCAATCAACTGGTGTACAGCTTCCTGAGCCTACTGGGCTCTGTGTACACGTTATATGTGGTTATTTACCTATACGCACCGTACTGTTTCTTTAGCTGAGAGTGAGGAAATTGGTTATGTATTTCTACGTTGTGTTGCTAGGACTGGGTAGAGAAGACGTAAGTTAAGCTGAGAGTGAGGGAGGGAGGAGGGTATCGTGACGACGTAATACTAGACCGAGACTCCTCCCACCGCTGACCACAGCTTCCATGCAAGACCTTTACCCATCAAACACCGTAGTCTAGCATCAGCTCTTGACCTCTGTACGTGTTGACTCCGTGTAAGTACCCGATGCTACTTACAAGAAGTTTTGCTTCTTGTAAGTTGTTCTCCAAACTTGAATGATATAATACCAAGAAAAAGTGTTGTCGGTGTTTTGTCAATTCAATTTCAATTCAATTTCTTTCTTTATTATGCACCCCATACCCATCCCGTGTGCGGTGGTGTAAAGGATTACAGAGGCATGCCTACCTGTCCAAAGTCGGAGGCCAGATGCTTGTGGCTAGCCTCACCGAGACTTGTAGGGGGAATGGTCTGGGGTAAAGGACGAACATAGGCTGGTCTGGGTAGGCTTAAATTAAATGTTTTAAGAAATATAGCCTATAACCCAAACCCTCCGACCAATTTTCATGAAGTCTAAAATGCAAACGGCATAATATCTGGCATGTGCTGTCAGTAGAGTGTTGAAGTGACTCCCTTGCATTTTTCATCATTAATAATTCATAATTTTCGAAATGGTTGAATATACAGTCTGAAATCGAGACACTTTTTTTCTTCACGTGATGGATATCCAAAATTTATTCATAATAAGGTCTAAGAAACTAATGCTATTATATATCACCATTTTACCCATAATCAAACAATTATAGCGTATACTTTCGCAAAATAGTTTGTTATAAGAATACATAGTAATATTTGGAGATAAAGTTAAAGCGGCGGTGCGGAGGGCGGGTGTAGAAGACGGGATCCTCCCAGCAAAACACCCACCGTAAACACGGGAGAAGGAGCTGTCACCCAGGGCAAATATGGCAAGATATTAACCCCTCTTCTCCGCGTCAGACGAGCGATAAGCTTTTTTTTTTACAGCAGGTACATTTGTGTGTGTTGCCCCCTGACTTTACCTGAACCAGAGGTTCATGTTCACCTGGGATTGAGCGGGGTTTAATTAGTGTTTCCGCAGAGTTGACTGTCAGCAACTTTTGTCTGCTGCTTCAGTTGGTTTTCTGTTGCCGAGGGGTTTTGTCTCCCTGACGTATAGCTTCTGAAACCTGCTGTCGCTATCCGTCTGATAACTGTTTGGTCTGCGTAATATAGTTATTTCCTTTTAAATTGTGTGAAATTTGTTGACATACCCAGGAATAGTCTTAGGCTTATCTTGATCAGGCACAGCAAGCATTCAGATATCGACAGTCACTTATAGAAAAAACATTTATTTGGCAACTACATTCCTTATGTTGATAGAGAACACAGAGTATGACAAAATATGCTGCACATTTCTAGCTGAAACTTAATCACTTTTTTTTTGTTAGTAATGGATGTGAAACCCTTGGTATGGCTTGTGCCTTCCATATATATCATATGTTAATTTAGAAACTTGCAGTGCTAGAGAACAGAGAGTTAGGGATACAGGTAATAGACTGACTGTGATATGATTGTTAATACAGTTCAATATAGCTTATTTTTTTATTAGGATGCATCACTAGCTTAGTCAAATGCACAGTACTTATTGTTACTTTACTGAATTTTCTTACTATTATGCCTAAAATTGCAGTTTTTAGTCGACTCTTTGTACTTCAAATTGCTGCACATATGCAATTGTTGTACATATGTTTGTGATTACCACATGTGTATCCAGTTATGCATGAACCTTTGCCTAGATTAGATATTCTTGTTATGTTAGATATAGGTCCATGAGAAGCCAAGAGCCCGTTTGTGATAACTTAATTAAAAGTGTATCCCTTGGACAATTCATGCAGAAACCAGTTTATTCCAGTTTCATGTTGGTGACACTTTCTTCTTGTACAGTATAAAGTTCTTTAATCATTTAGTGCTTTCTGCTGTAAAGACAGCTTTTCCACTCACAATATATAAGGTAATACAGTGGAGCCTCGATTTATGATGGTAATTCGTTCCCAGAGACGTAAGTCGAAACGATTTTTCCCATGAGAAATAAAGGGATATGAATTAATCTGTTCCTGACACCCCCAAAAATTGACTTCAAAGTAAATTTTATACCTAATTCACCCAAATCTTCATTACAAAATTATATAAAAGTTATTACTTACCTTTACTGATGACTCCTGTTGGCGTATGGAAGATGGTGAGGAGGGGGGGAGGAGGAGAGGTGTTACTGTTTGGAAGGGGAGTCCCCTTCCATTATAACATCAGGCAGTGAGGATTTCTCTGGGGTACACTCTGTCCTACGTTTTGCCTGCATACCACTAGGACCTGGTTGTGGTTCACCGCTAGTTTGTCTCGGTAAAAATTTGTCTAGCAACACTTGTTTTTCCCTTCATTTTAACATTTGTCTGTAGTGATGCATCACAGTGTCATTGAAAAGGTTATGGCAACGGTCTACTGCAGCTTGATTTGGGTGAGTCATTTCAGCAAAAGTTTATAGTTCTTCCCATGCTGCTCACATTTTCTTTATTTTTGAGACGGATATTCTGTACTGCCTCTATGGTCATCCTCATACTTGTTTTCATATGGTGAACCTTACCACTGACTTTCTTGGGACCCATGACGTGATATATAATAATCAGTTTTATGTTCAAAAAGCAAAAAATTAAAAAAAATATATATATAATTTGTTATAAGCATGATTGTCACTAAGCGGGCAGCTCTAGTAAACTAAGGAAGGGCGGCCCATGCGACTGGGAACCATGCGCTCGGTTGACCCGAACGTGTATCAACAAGTATCATTAGTCAACAACACTATCGTAAGTCGAGTCGCATTTTCCGATCAAATTTACTGTATATCGTAACTCAAAATTATCTTAAGTTTGGGCAATCGTAAGTCGAGGTGCCACTGTAATTAATTATAGGAAATATAGTACCTATTGATATTATCACCCAGAGTCTGGACCCCGTGGTTCATATTAATATCTTCAAATTTTTAAGTATTTTAAACTTCTTGTTGAGATCAGCCCTGTCATTTATGGTTTACAGTAATGTTATTCTCAACCCTCAATCTGTACCTTTACCACTGTATGAGAATTGACTTTGTTCTGGGATGATTTTGTTGCTATGCATTGAACATTTTCCAATGCAGATATATTGAAGGTGAGGTCCTCCATGCTTTGATACAATATCTCAAGTTTGATCACAAGATCTCACTTATTTCAACAAACTACATACATGTGGGGTTGTCACTTAATGTATAAGTGACATAACATAAGTGACATAATATTTCTTACCAGGTCTTTTATTCCTACCTAATCTAAACTACAGACAGCTAAAATAATAGTATTAAAAAGTACTGTATAGTACTAATCTTTTATGGAGAATCCAGGCTGCTCTTGCTGCAAAATACTATTTCAGTAGAAGGTGGACACATCACAAACATATTTGCCATCACCTTATTGTCTAAACATAGAGAAAGAGAGATGTGAACTTTAATGTAATTTATTGTTTTATTTATATACAAGAAGGTACATTGGGTTTATGAGAGTACATAGCAATCGTGTTTTTACATTCTTGCAAAGCCACTGATACACATAGCATTTCAAGCAGGTCCTTAATCTAACAGATAACTTTAAGTAGATAATTTGTAGCAATATTTGAAGAAAGTTAACAGGTACATTGTAAGAAAATTTGAAAAAAATTAATAGGTACCTTATAATACCTATAATGGGAGGTACCTTGATTATATAATACCTATATAATAAAGGGGTGAGATGTCTCAGAAAAGAATTAGAAAATAGTGATATTAATATTTATAACCAACCAAACTCATTATATATCTTTGATATTCCCAATCAGAAAAATTCATGCAAATAAAAGGATCCACTATATGGAATTCCATTCCTAATTTATTAATGAAGTAAAAAATTACTGATTGTATACTTTATTCAAAAGTAGAAGTGCTTAAGTACTTAATTTTCTTACCATGGCACCCACCTTGGGCTACTATGTCACCTAGTACCATACGGCACTTTCTTGAAATATAACCAGTATAATTTCTCATTATCAGCACCTTACCTTATTATTAATGTTATATACAGTTATTATGTTAACTTTTCAACTATTCAATTTTCTCATTGTATTCCTGTCACTATAGTATCACAGACTGTGATACTGTCATAAGTACTTGCCTGTCAATGTCAATGGAGGAGTGAAATCTAGCTCTTTATGTCCAAAATTCTAGTCTTTTATTCCTGATATGTATTAACTCAAGGTTTGTGTTGTGTTTGTTCTTGATATTGTAAATGCAAGTTTCCTTTGACTGCTACTTTCAGTGCATTCCACTGAAAGCCTCCTTATTTAGATTTATAAATGCTGTGCTTTTATTTACCAACTTCCCTTTTGCGGCTGACATTATCATGTTCACATGAGCTTCTGGAGTTGTTAGGATTATATCCACTGCCAGGTCTTATTTTTCTTTCAGAATGTCTACCATTAAGGTGTTGTTTCTAACCAGTCTCCTATCTCCCTTTCTCATCTTCATTACTTCTTTATATTTAATTTTAACAGCCATTTGCCTGCCTATTCTTGAAGTTTGTCAAGATCTTTCTGTAGTACTCTATATTCCTCCTTAGTTCTTACTGTCATTAGCTTTGCATCATCTGTAAAAAGAGTCATTTTATAACTCTCTCCCTCTGGTAGGTCATTGAAGTTAATTAGAAAGAGCAACAGTCCTTGGACAGATTTCTGAGAGATCCCACTTTTAACTCCTTTCCAACCCTACGTATCCTGTCTGACTATGACCCTTTGTTTCCTGTCTGTCAAGTACTCTCTTATCATGTTCAGTGTATTTCCTATTATCCCAGGTTGCATCTCAATCTTGTTCATTATTTGTTTGTTGGTATCAAAAGCTTTCTGGCAGTCTAGGAAAATTCAGTCTATGCATCCTTCATTCTCTTGTCTTATTTTCGTAACTTGTAATAGTAAGTATGCAATGTGATACTCACATAAGATTTGAGACTTGTTGGGGTTGTGTTAAATATCCAGCACTAAAAATCAATTTTGTTACACAAGTACAGTAATTCTTGTAGTACCTCCTGTAATATGACGAAGTTATCTTAAAAGTAATACAGTAATTAGGGAAATATTTTAATGTTTCTTACATTGACCCAATTTTTTGTTTGTACAGTGTGGCGGGGTGAACCATGGGGACAAACAACCAGGATGTGGCCTGTTACCTCGTTACTAAACACTCTGCATGGAAGGGCAAGTGAGTGAATTGTGTACATTAAGGAAATATACATATTAGAGCAGAGAGCAGAGTGAGCCAGCACAGAGCTGTACTGTAGTTACTGTTCATAATTATTGACAAAAACATTTCTTCTTAAATATGAAGATAATTTTCAGTGGCTGATAATTATATTTTTATATTCCCCAATTCTCCCTCTCTCCCCCTTCCTCCCTCTCTCCCCTTCCCTCTCTCTCTCCCTCTTTCCCCTTCCCTCTCTCTCCCCCTTCCTCTCTCTCCCCTTCCCTTTCTCTCTCCCTCTCTCCCCTTCCCTCTCCCTCCTGGACTCTCCCTGCCCATCCCTTCCCCTCCAAATATCCTGTAGACTGAACACCGTTCAGTGAAAATCTGAATCTTGTATAAGAGATCCCTCTAAATAATGGTTGAAATTCATCCACTGAATTTCCCTTTGGAATTTGGTTTTCTTAAACAAAACCAAATGGTGTTCTGGGGGGGAAAGCTGTGAAATTCAGACTGTCAGGTCATCATATAAAGTAATTCCAATTAAACCAATTTTGTAACTATTTCTTAAAATATTTCATTTATATTTTGAACTGTTTTACTTAGTCTGTACTGTACTATAAATTATACTGCAGAGTTTATTTGTGATATTGTTTCTGTGTTGGCCTCATTGAAATATTAGGTCATTAATTAAGGGTCTGTCAGAAAATTACGGCAAGAGCCGAATTACATTAACACTGTTGCATGCCCGACGGGGCCACCCGCATTGCACTAGAAGGTAGGCCAAGCATGGCCGGTGAGCACACAACCCAATGTCAAACTCGTTCACTTACAATGTTTATACTTAATAATAAGACTATGGAAAAATTTATGCATGATGCTGTTTGTGTCATCACCTACTCTGCTTCTTTTGGTTTTATGCTGCATAATGCGTCATCAGGACGCGATTGTGTTTAAAGAAATCTGTAGTGTTCATATCATGTAAAATTATTTGTTGACACTGAATAGGTATGTGGAAATATTATTTTCAGCACATCATATAAGTTTAGCTATTTATATAACACCAATATTTTTAGATACAAGCGTATCTTCAGCGTGGGAAATGCAGGCATCACTACCTATAACCCAGGTAGTATGGAGGTGACCAACCAGTGGTACTACCATGATTTTATCAACATAACCCCGGCCCTCAAGGGTGTTGGTCAAGTAAGCATTCACAGGAAACTAAAATCTTTTTTATTTTTTTTTTGTGGCAGTTTTAGCATGTTCAATCTACATGCATCTACTGTATATTTAAATCTTTCTCTATTTGTATCATGTTTACCAATTAAGAAGCCGATAGTATAGATGAAAAATTAATGTAATACTGTATTGTATTATACATTTTAAGAGTTTCATCTTAAATTATAATAATTAATACATTCTGTAAAATCTGCTAAATTAATAATACACTAATTATAAGATTTACAAATTCCTATAGGTTCCTAATGAGTTCATCATAACTATGAGGAAAGGCAAAAAAGTTGATCACATGAGATTTTCATCCGACCATCGAACAGACATCATCTCGGAGGCTTTAGTGTTCAGACACAATTTTGCAGAAGGAATCATTGATAACCTGGTATGTCTTGTTCTGTATATTCTCTTATTTCCTCATTATTAACTATTTTTTACTCTGTATTTTCACTTTCCTTTTTATTTTAATATATTATATATCTTTAATATAAGTAAGTCAAACTAGAATGACATGTGAGATTGTGCAGGTTAAATACTTTTGTGATCTATCGCATTTGGTTGCTCCTTAAGGTAATAATCCACTGTCATTGATTGGATTCATACACAATCAGCACTGGTGCTGTAGATATCTTATCAAATAACCATGTAGGGCTACATTAGATATTGTAGAGGCTCTGGAGAAGAGCTCAGTGACTTCTCAGAGGTACATTTGGGAGGCTCTAAGCTCTTCTAAATCGTTTCTTGGCTTTTTATGTATCAGAAATAAGAGTAAACTACAGTACTGTATTATAAAAAACAATTTTCTGAGCATAACTATTCTGTTTCTAATTGTGAATGAATGTCATCCATCCTGTGTACATGAATCTGGCCTATGACAGCAAATTTTGCGGTAAGAAACAACCAACAGTGAGTGGGTCTACTTAGTAGAGAACTCTTCATAGTGGCTGAAAATTTTATTTTTGTATGCGGAAAATAAATACAGCAGTGTTGAAATAGTTGGCCAACTTTTCTTTTACTATAACCAGTTTGTAGTTTTTTTTTTAATATATGAGGGTGAAATATTCTAAGCTTCACTGCAAACTATAATCTACATCTTTCAAATTGTATTATTTTGCAGTGAAACTTTCATGTCTATATTCATCTGCTATCATATAGATTACTGTATTGCGTAAGATCAGTAGTTTTTTGCATCTCTAGCCTGATTAAGTAAATTGTTCACATTGAAACTTGACAGAGAGCAAATGCACAGAAGGTTCACTGGTCAGAAGCAAAACATCCAGTGGTTTTAGAAGTTACACCGTGTTCTGTTGATCAACTAGATGCTGCAACTGGGACCCCTCTGGCTTCCTACATGTTCAAAGATATTGAAGCTCTTGTTCCAGTTTCTGACATTCCAGGTGGTTTATGTATTCAGGTAAGTCATCTTTATTGTGTTGTTTCTACCATCATTGGATTTTGGTTGTAATGTTACTTGTTTTCCTTACATTTTTTACTGTTCATGCTTGTGTAAAATCATCCTTACTTCCGGTGATTCTAGCAGCATTTTCACAGTGGCTGACAAGATTAAAGCAGCATCTGATATAGATCTAAATATTGAACAGCGTTTGGAGTTTTTCAAGGCTTTTGAATTGGGTTTGAGTTCCTACAAAAAGAATTACAAGGCAAACTGATGCAGGATACTCCAATATATGAGGTTGCCTAGTATGCATCACAACTTAAAGTGACTGCCAGAAACACCAGCCAATGACAAATTGGAGGTCGACTTAGACCTCACAATGACCTACCTTCTCCCAAGAACCAGACAGTGTTACTCATAGATATTGATAGATAGCACTAGTAGGTATGCACTGATATTAATATACCACTGCAGAATACCACTTTTCCTACCCACATTCTGAGAAATTTTACAATGATGGTGAGTAATTGTACAGAATAATACTTTCAACGAGCAGAGTGAAGTAGGGTATATGTTTTGTTGAGAGAGAGAGAGAGAGAACTTCTCTCTGTGAGTTGTGTTCAAGGAATAGATAACTCACTGAGCTAATCAAGAGCCAGCTCTATTTCATATTAAAGTTAAAACAGTATTTTTATCACCCATACCTACGATCATCTTCCTGCAGCCACATACTCACCCCACCAAAACACAACTCTTCCCTGCCTGCCACCCATTCATATCTCCATCCCCCTCCCCCATCTATTCCTCATGCTAAACCACACACCTCTTTCAAATCTTCACAACCAAATTGGAAGCAGGTGTTCACTCCCACTAATTCTGGATGTTAAGAGTCCTCCCTTATTTCTCTGGGAAAGAAGAGAGAGTATACAAGTACAATGAAATCATAATGACCTGATAAATCTGTGAAAAAATGTTTGGAGTAGGATGGCGGGATCCAAATTCCTAGTGGGTTTAGATGACACCAGGTTGTGTAGCTTTTATGCTTGTCGTATGGGTACAATACACATCTGGGGTGACCTAGGATGCTAGTTCGATCCTGCCATCCTGCTCCAAAGATTTTCTCAAGATAGATTATAAATATTTCAATATGTTAAACTTGAGCTCTATGCATGAATGCTATAATCATGTACTGTATCTGCTGTAACATTTGTCATTTAACATACATTCCAGTGCGGAAGCTTTGGGAGGTTACACATCTTCTCCACAGACCGCCGGGATGAAATTCTCAGGAAAGTTGAAGATAATGCTAAGAAATATATTGGTATCTCAATCCCAGCCAAAAAAGTTTGCATCACACTACAAAAAGCAATGGAAACTAGGGTAGGGAAATATAGGTAAGTTACTTAAATTTCTTAACAGATAATGGTACAGTATTTGCACCTTGTTAAAATGATGAGAAGTAAAGTTGTGTTTGAGTTAATTAATGTTTTTACTGAGCTTTTATAATTTGTTTGATATGTATAATCAATATTCACTGATGATATTTATGTGGGAAAAGTATCCAGTAAAAATTTTTACAAGCCATATTAGATGTAAGTAATCAGTAGCTACCTACCATAATATAAAGATCATTCCAAACATTATCTGAGAAAAGTTTGTTTATTGAAAATGTCATTTCAGTAATTGAGAAAAAATTTATGTTCGAGATAAATTATTAAATGACAATGACATACATATGTGAAGGAGAGATCCATAGGAGGCACGCATGTGCATTAAGTTGAATCAAATAATTCAATTATGTGATTGGCCATAGTTCTGGTTGGATGAAATAGTTACCGAATGCATATCAATTTCTGCACTAGGCAAATGTGTGTGTTTCATGAAATAGAAAATAGAAGTAATAGTGAAATGGGGTTTGTGTTATATATATATATAAACTGGTGCTTACTTTTTAGATGTGGAATATTTAGGGCATTTGTAATTCCGGTTCTTAAGCTGTACTTAGAGATTATTTTAAAAATCAATTATTTCTTATGTAACAACCTTAATTATATTTTATTTTTGTATTATAGTGGGGATGAACATATCACATCTCTTTGTGAATTTGCTGTGCATAAAGTAAGTCACAGACACATGGACCCTATCAAAAGAACCTTGTGTGTGAGTGAGACCTGCCTCTTAGAACGTGACCCTAATTCTTATGGCATCGTAACGTTACGACCCCTCTCAGATGTCTTTGCTCTAGTCCGACACCAAGATAATCCTCAGATGCTTACGGTAGAATATGTCAGAGGAGGCAATCGCGTGTACACATCTTCTGACAGGTAAGATGTGTTTTCCTTTCAGATTACTAATGAGTTTAATGTTTTCTTCATTTTATGAAATTTCATGTAACTATTTTATTGTTAGATTGTCACTGCATATGTATACAAGTTGAGGGAGGGAGACTGAGAGTAGGGAAAAAGAGTAGGAATTTAATAAAAAAGGAGCAGTATGGGACAATGAATGACCTCTTGAGGTCATTCAAGAGGTTCTTGAATCTCAATACACGCATCTTGAACCCCAGTTTTGTGGTTCAAGATGCATATGTAAAATTTATTTGTAAAAGTGACCGTTGAGTGCATATGCTCCTTATGATGGTAGTAGTGTTTTGGAAGCACTACAAAAAAAAAAAAAGTCCAGACCAGAGTGTCTGCAGAGCATTTACTACACATCATTCACTTGTATTCACAGCCACGTAGCACTCTGGTCAAATCCATAGTTTCTCACATGGCCACCACCAGATGGCTGCACACTAATCAATACCAGACCTCACCCTATCACATTCTTGTAGACTCATCTCTATAGTAGTTAATTGTTAATTGCTTTTTCATTCTTAAAACCTTGGTTCTTTGTGCAGTGGGCTCATTCTGTGTTTTTGTTAGCATAATAAGAATAATTAGAATGCTTTTTGAGAGAGTTTAGTTCACCTTGTCTATTCCTATTACTATCATGTATGTCCCTCGTCTCCTTGTCCTCATCCCTCCACTACCTCATCCCTCGTCTCTTTTTTCTTTTAAGGCTGTAAGGTTGAGTTACCTTTACCTGTTCTCACAGTTGCACCCTTAATTCTAATATTAATCTAGCTGCATATCACTGTATTTTGTCCAGGTTACTTTTGTGTTTCTAGACAATATCTATGTATGGACTTTAAAGCCTCCTTGTTTAAATTTTTTAACTTCTTATATTCACCAACTTCTGGCAATGGTTGGAAAAGGTAGCCATGTTGGAACTAACATTTTGATTAGAATGTTACTTGACAGTCTCCTGGAGGCTAAATTTTCCCTCGATCAATTGTATTTTAAATATATTTAGTTGTGTCTCAAACTTCTTTATTCCTAATCAAGTACAATAGTTATAAAGTGCTAAGTTTTTCTTGATTAAGTGAGAGACTGTTTCATCTTTATTTTCCCAGAGATTCATTATTAGCTTCCCTCGTTGATGGTGTGCGAGCATCAGGGAATTTGGACGTCCATGTGCGCATGACGCCAACACCACGAGGCAAACGTCTGGGACCCCTTGAAATACCTGTAGATGAGGAAGTGGAGTCTATGCACCTAAAGTTCCTTCAGCAGCCTCCTCCTGGGTGGTCATTTGCTGAGGCAATAGAAAGATTCAATGCAAATGTCTCATATTCAGGATTGCTTCATGCAGTCACAGGAGAGGTGTGTTTTAAATATTCTAGTAAATGTTTTATGCTTCAGCCATGAGTGATCGATTTAATTATTCACTTGGTTAGTGTTTGTATAGTTTTGCACAGATCAAAGGCTGGCTACTATATTGTATTAAATATTAAAGCTACTACTTTACTACATATTTTGGTCTTAAAACTTTGAGTTATCTTATTGCTTAAATTATCACAAAAATTAAATTCTTGGTCCTGGAGTGCATCCCATTTTTTCCCAGGAGATCCTGAACTATGTACTGTGTAGATTATTTTAAAGTGATTTGTTTTGCATGGATTCCCACATGAAACTAATGTTAAATGGAGCATATTCTGTAAAATCCACATTTGGTGTTTATAAATTTTCAGGGCCTTTTTGCCGAGAATAAAGAGCGACTAATCACTGGAGGTCTTGGATCTCTGGTGCTAAAAGAGGGTGACCAAGCAACTCTACCAGCAGAGGAGATTGAGGCACAGTTCCATGCCCTTCGCAGACTTGTAGCATCTAAAGCTGGGTTTGCGTGCCTTACCTCACTCCCTGGGTAAGTCATTTTAGTGATGAACCTCATAAAGTGCAATTAAGTATTTTTTTGGCGAGGTCCTCGTGCTTAAATACAGGTGTCCGTGACAGGATTTTTACAGCTGGATGACCACTGTTTTTCACTTGAAGTTAAAGATTTGTTTGATTATTCCTTGAGTTTGGATGTGATTCATAGAAGTGGACATTACTATACCATTATAGGAACTAAAAATGCTAGTATTTATATTTACTTTTATTTTCTGCATTATTTCATGCTATATTTTTCCATGATTATATGTTCACTTCACATATTATCTTTGTATTTTACTCCCATGGATACACAAGCTTCCGAGAAAAGGTTGGGGTGAAGATTGTGAAGGCTCTTCAGAGAAACGATGATGGTGTGAACCATGCTGCAATTGACATGCTGTGTGCCCTTATGCAACCAATGCATGACTACCCAGATCTGAAACAAGAACAACTCAACAAAGCCTCACTCCTTGCGTCGGCCAAATTCCAGGAAAAACTACTGGAAAACTGGGTATTCCATGTGGTGGGTATAGGGGGTTACTGGTATCCTTATTCCCTGAATATTTGTCCAGTTGATGATATGATCCTTTACTTCAGTAATGATAGTCACCTTCAGTCACGATGATCAGCTTTTATCTTTTTCCAAGCAAAATATGTGAGGGAGTATGAAAAAAAAAAGATATTGTAGAATCCATGCAAAATGTTTATATGTAGGAAGAAGCACAATTATTAATGGTGCAATGAGTGACAGTTTTGATATTAATGTAGGTATATCCTAGGGTTGTATGAAGTCGCCTTGGATTTTCAAGTATACATGTACAGTGGAATCTCGATTCGGCAAATCTCCGGTTGGAGATTTCATGCCACTTTTCATGCCAGATTTATTCTCCCGATTTGACAAGCAAAAGTTCATTGAAGCAGGGGATGTGTGGATTTGATTAGGATGTTGAGACAGAGTTCGCAGTTGGAGGCAACATTGCAAGAAATAGTTGGGGTCTTGGGAAAGCCACGGAGCATATTTAAAATAAAATTCTACGGTTCTTTTTTATTTCCAGTTGCAGAAGTTCAGTAAAATATGGGCCCCATTTCCTTTGAAAATGAGATTTCGAGGCTTGGCCATTGGGAAATTTGCTTGATGTGGTTAGATCTCTTTACAGAGAGGTTCTCTTAATTGTTGCCCTTCATATGACAGGTTGAAATTATAATTTCACTTGGTGAAAAAAGCCCATGGAGCATGGGAAATATTAAGTATGAATGGTAAGGTTCTTAATATGACTCCAATCATGTTTTTGATGATTTTTGTAGATGTACTCAATATTACAAGAACTAGTTGGAGCCTTGGAAATACTATCGAGGATATTTAAAACCAAACTCTATGGTTTGTTTTCGTTTTGAGTTGGAATTTTTTCCTTCACTTAGGTATGGCCTTTCTACATTTTGAAAATGAATTTTGCGGCTATGAATGTGAGAAAAAAGCGAGATGTGGTTAACTTTTTTTGAAGACATGTTCAGTTAGTAGTTATCTATTATATTATATGTTGAAATTAAAATTTTGTTAAGTGAAATTAGCTCATATGCATGGGGAAATGCATCCTGAAGGCATCTCCAGTTGTAACAAATGACCACTGAACTGCATCTCACTGCAACGAATTGAGGGTTGGTCCCGTATAGTTCATTGAATCGAGGTTGTATTGAATATATACTATATCTTGAAATGGAAGTGTTGAGCAGTAAATGAAAGAAAGAGTGAAAGAGTTAAGACTGAAAGAATAAAACAATTATATGGTGATGGAGCCTTGTGGATAAACTTAATGCTGATATTAACATCTCCCCATTCCCCTAGAAAGAAGAAAGGCATAGTGGTTATTTACAGATACTGGCTTTTATGGCTAGAATTAAGCATTTGTATTTTACAGTACAAGTATTCTAATAATGACACATAATTTATATATGTGTAGACTAGGATATATCTGTTTACTAAAACAATTGATATTCCTCAAGTAACACAGATAAATTCTTTCAGACACATGGAACAGGAGCGCTGGTGGTATCCGCTATGTTGGATTTCATGACTTTTGCTCTCTGTGCTCCGTATAGTGAAACAACTGACGGAGCCCATTTTGACCGCTTGCTGGAGATGGTAGCAGACAACGGCAGATCGCTCTTCAGGCTTTTCCAACATCCATCACTAGCTATTGTAAAAGTAAGTGATAATGTTATGTTGTAGTCTTTCTAAGGCTAAGAAGCATTGAAAGATGCTTCTGGGAGCTTTTGGAGAGTAAGTTCTGGAACTGAAGAAGTAGACATGGTAAAATTAAGCTCAAGAAAGTACATACAATATTAAGAAATGAAGTTGATAGAAGTTACAGGAGTATGAAATAAAAACTTGTAAGAGGACATTTACAATGGCATAATAAAATGCATGGTCATTTAATGTACCCAGAAGATCCATAATTTGGAATTGAATTCATTGTAAATATTGCTGAAACACAAATGGAGGTGTTGAAAAGACAATTGGACAAGTTCCTGCAGGAAATGCTGGACGAGCCAGGTTGTAATGGATATATGTTCGCCAGCAGAATGCTCCAAGCAACAGTCGAATAAAGTTATCACAATACAAGGCTAAATTTGCCTGAAAATTAAACGATATTGTATAAAGGGAGAAAGAAATATTTGCAAAGGATTTCTACATATTGTTTGGCTATAATGTGTGCATGCATTTGGCATTTAGAATAAAAAATTATTAAAAAAAAAAATCCTCCAGAGAAGAAAAACGAACATCTGACAGCAGCATATTGAGCTGCAGTATTACTATGGTTTAAGAAAAGACATATGAGAGGGAATGTCATTTACTTATGCAATAAATGTGCTTCCATGGGCAACCAACTGGTGTATGACCTATGGGGGTGTATATTGGAATGTTAAAGCTTTCGGCACTTACATTTTACTAACCTGTTGGAGTGCTTCCTGTGAATAATTGCTGGAAGGTGGTGATGCTACTCTTTCTATGATGATATATAGTGTAGATGAGTGTTGATTTATGTGATAAGATATAGTATGAATGGTGCTGATTTATCTGTGATAATATATAGTATGAATGGTGCTGGTTTATGCATGATTTATATTGTAGACTGAGTGCTATTTTTAAATAAAACCTTCACTATATTGCTCCGGTTTTCTCTGGGCTGGAGCCTCCTCACTCCATGAAAGTGGGAAACAGGTAATGATAATCATTAGAGGATAACTTGCCAATCTACTGCATTCTACTTCAGAAATGATCAGAACTAAGTTTTATGACACTGAAATATAACGTACTGATTTGCATGAGGTCCCAGTCTGTTATTGGAATTTTTGAAGTGAGATGGTATGTACAGTACTTGGCTATTCAAGTAAACTTCACAATTTTAGTCAAGTTACTTTTATTTTGTTAACTTTTTTCCCATTTGCCCTAACACATTCCCATTATATTATTTGAAATAGGCACTATTTTGGTGCATACAAAATTATTATTCTTTGTATTGTGTTCTAGGGTGCAGGATTAGTAATGAAAGCCGTGATTGAAGAAGGTGAGAATGACATCCCGATGCGCATGCAACTCCTGGCTTTGACTGAAGGAGCTCTGCCACGCCACCTATACACAGCACTCTTCACTCAAACCTCTGATGGGAGGCTCCTCACCCACCGACAGCTCTCTCGTCATCTTGTTTCCCTCTGGGCTGCAGAAAATCAGCTCGCTGTTGATCTTTTAGGGCGGACTGTGGTAAGAGAAAATTTATTTTAGATAACACAATTAATTTATGTGTAAATGACTGTCATTTGTTTCTGGGAGAGTGTGTTCAGTAACTTCCCTAGCTAAGCCTTAAAGAGATGCACTAGGGCTCTTGAGACCGGTCTTTTCCGACTGGGAACCAGGACCCGAGGTTCCCAGTCCTGCATGTTCCAGTTTTGGCAATTACAACTTTCTCCTGTACATTATTCCATCCTCCAACTACTGTTACTCTCATTATATACTTTTATCCGTTCATTTTCTTTCTACATTGATGTTACCTAATCTTGTACCTATGTTCACTTGATTGTGTAAGCAGAAAGAAGTCTTCATAATTTGTTTCAATACTTTTCATTATTTTGATTTTTTGATCATGTCCCCATATATTCTTTTATCTTAAAGTTTAGGCAGCTTTAGGAAATCTAACCTCTTTTATTTGCTCAACCATATGAGTTTTGGGATTCATTTTGTTTGGTCATCATATCTTCAGCCACGTTATTGTGACTCATCAATTGTACTTGTTGCATAGATTTAGTCTTTCTAGTTAGTTTTTTTTTTTTTTTAATTTTGGCCTATATCTACTATTTACCCACTCCATTTCATGGCATTTTATCACATTAAATTCAATCAACAATTGTTTACATCAGTTGCTCAACCTGTCCAGGTCATGTTGCAGGATACTGCCATCTCTTATATCGTTGATTTGCTTAAGTACTTTATCATCATATATACACCCATATGTAATGTGCCCATAGGCACCCTAATGCTCACAAAGTATACACTGTACCAGCATATAAGTTTGGTTGAAATTTTAGCTTTAAGAAACTTTAATTACATCTCTTGCAAGATTAATCTACCAAAGAAACAGTAGTAATGGGTGATGCTTTCATCTCTTCTGTACAATGTCTGCATTGCAGCCACCAGGTCTTCTAGCTTTCCTTGAGAGTAAAGAGACTGTATCCCTTGATGACATAGACCGTTTGAACACTAGAGACAACTTGAAGATGGCAGAAGACGATGAAGAAAAGAATAAAAAGAACCAGGTGTTGGAGACCTTGGATCGAGCTTACAAGAGCTCTGTGAAAAAAGTAGAGCATTTGGTTGAAAGACATATGGACGTGAGTAGGAAATCTCATTTCTCTAGCCTTTAAAGGCTCCTACAGTTGCGAAAACGCACAGTTGTTTTGAGCCCATAAGTAGATATTTTGTTGCAGCTGCTAATATTATGGGCTTTTTATGTATTTTGTTCTGCTGTATAACTTGACATATACAGTTGCCCCCACTAAGAACCATAATCCTCTATTGTCCTCTCATCTGTTTAGATATCTTTTTGTTCCTGTTATCCTTGAATGAAGAAGTCTTAAATGTTTAATGGTTCAAAATGACTGTGTGTATCGGCAAGGATAGTTGTATAACTTTAAACGGCAGTAAATAAGGTATTATTCAGTAACATTAAAAAATAAGCTTGAGGCATTTGGTACGTGTAAATAGCAACTGTATATACTTACTGTATGTTGCTGAATACTTGTATACATATACGGTACATGTTTTTGTTATGCATATAATGTTCATTGTCATCATATGTATGATTTATAGCTTAATGATACTGTATCAGTTTTTCATTTTGTTCATACCCGTACAGGATACCAGTAATTATTAATTAAAAAAGGATTGCAAATTCTTTGTTCTTGTGATTCATGTCTTGTATGTGTGTTAATTATATTTTGTCTCATTCTGCATTGTGTTTTATGATTGTTTTCTAATCTTCATGTTTTTATAACATATGTGCCATATGATCCTGCTTTATTTGACTGTGCAGAAAATAGAGACTGTGGAAAGACATTTGCAAAAAGGAGCGAAGCACGTGGAGGCCTACTATGAGGCATACCTGGAAAAGCACGTAGATGTAAGTACATACTGCAACCAAGTCAAGAGTGGACAAGGGGGCAGGAGCAACAACAGACAAGTATGCTGAAGGACACATTAGTCAAGGACAAGCATTTTCTAAAGGCAGTGTTTTGTTTGATTAACAGTGACTTCAAATCGTGAAGCTATTCATTGTATAAAATGTGTGTGTAATAAATGTTTGTCCATAACTGATGTTAACTTCAATACATTGTCAGACTGGTTTTTGAAAAGTGGCAGCTTTTTGTGATTTGGGAGAGGGAACTGGGATCGGTTGTTGCCGTGTTTTGAGTGAAAGCATTTGTAACTCGTCTCCAGATGTTTTGCTAGGACTTGGAGGTTTTATTACTTTCTTTGCAAATATTTCAATTTCCACATCTAGCAGGAAGTGTTTAATCAAGTACTCTCAGATCCTTTCTTAGTTGTTAAACACTGGTTAGTTGCATTGTCTACATCAAAGACTAAGTATTATTGGATCATTGCAAAAATGAATTTGTGTTTAGTTTTTCCTACCATAATGGTTGAGAGTTTTCTAATACTGGCTAAGACTGTATTTTACAGTACAGTTCTTCTCCACATAATTTATATCTCAGTCTGGTTTTTACTAAGCTAATGAACAATAAATTAAGTTTTTAAATTTTATTTCTCTTTGGTTGAGATTTACTTAACATGGATGAAGATAATTCTTACTGACTTGCACTGGGGCCACATTACACAATAGTTCCCAGCTGAGGCTCTGGGGAAAAATATAGTCTTGATACCTGAAATGCAATTTTCTCAATATTGTTCAGGGTTGTCAAGTCATTGACAGATAACGTTCCTTGCACATTGCACCAAGGCTTTCTGGGCTTTCTTGCAACATTTTGTAGTTGAGGCCTCTGGATAGTATCATAAGCTTTGTTGGGCCTATGAGCAGACATCTGATCCAATATTCTTCATCTTCACAAAATTTTCCATTCAGAATTGCCAGTAAAACTTTTCTAGAGTCAAAATCAATATCATTAGTTGAGTGTGTAAGTACTAATTACCTGAAACTCTACTTTATTAGAAGCTTCATTTGCTTGGAAAATATTATGAAAACTTGGCAAACTCAACAGATATTCATGCAGACTCCTTTTTTTTTTTTACAGATGTTTTAAATATATAATTTTTGTTAATAACATATTTTTCCTAGTTAAATGGTAAATTTGTACAATTAAATATAAAATTTGTTTGCCACATACACCTTGAATATTTAAAAAATAGTAATTCTTGGATTAACTGCATTAAAAGATCAATGGATGGGAAAAAAAGCAGGAGTTTTTTTAAGGAGTAGCAATTTATTGAGCTTTCTGGTTAGAGCCTGCAAATGTACTTCAATATGGATGAACTTGGTCATTTATCAGTTATTAATGAAGAAATTGGAAATTTATCAGTGCTGTCATAATACTAAACTGCATTTTGGAAGTGCTTATTGATACTATTGATAGTTGATTAATGCAGAAATCTGAGGAATTTTTGTGGGGGGTAAAGAAGATTGGTTACAAGTCTGCCTTTAAATGATTGGTGGTAACAATGGTGAAGAAAGATGTATTAGTAGGTCAAAAGTGGAAAAGGGTGTTGCCATCTTTGTTTCAATAAACATACATAATGTACTGTATATTGTGCTACCAAGTGTTTAACAATGACCTAAGTTGTGAGATTGGTGATTTGTCCTTCCTGCTATAAATGTACATATTCTTTCTCCAAAAGTAAAAAATCAATTGTATAGTTGTTGTATATGTATAAATTAAATGCTACAATATATTGTCTATGTGCATGCACACACTCCATTTACACAGATTTGCTGACCATTACTGGCCACACTTGTCATAGGTGTGTATACACCCGACCTGATTATTTATGAGGGACTTGTAAGGCTCCATTTGTCAGATTGTTACTGGAGCTCAAGCTATTGTTATTGGGACATGCTTACTATTAACTCATCACCTTATCTGTTGCTAACCACCTATTCTAAAGGACACAAGCATAGGCTGGAAATTTAATTAAGGGAAACTGTTAATGTTGCTGCATCTTATTATATGATTTTCTCAGTCGTTTAATAGTTGAATGAGGGGGATAATTCAATAATTAAATTTATTGAATTTTGAATTTCTGGTGTACTATATATTTTTGTTGTTGTGTTCTTTTGTTAAGTCTTTAAATTTGCTTTGAGTTTTGTGTCACACTTATCTTCCTCTCCATTGCTGTGCCAGGATTGGGTAAGTTTCTTGCATGAGTACAAACAACTAGTTGCACTCGTTGCAATAGACATACATACGTACTGGAATTTGGTACTGCAATGCTTTTAATATTTAGTAAATGGTGGTAGGCCATGAGAATTAATATTGATTGTCATTTTGTGGTTCCTTGGCTTTAACACAGCATGAAGTATAATTGCTCGGTTTAGCTCCTTACAACCGTGTAGTTCACTGATTACTGATGCACTGTTTTGTGAAGAGCACACTATTGAGCTGTGTCATTTACTGCTATTAGTGTTAGTTTTTTAAATTAATAATGGTCATTACAGCCACTTTGATTCAACTTAAAACAAAATTAATTAAATTTGAATTACAAGTACAATGTATTTGTTGATTTACCATAGCATTTACTGAGCAATATCTTCAGCAAGACATGACATGAGTTAAAGGTCTTTACTAAATATGTAACCTGCTTTATTGTTGTGCATGATTTTTGTAGTGGAAGTTTTATATATATTACTATAGTTAGCTGCATTGCTTACACTTTGCGGCATGAGTATATTGTAAGATGTGATGTACAGGGCGTTTGAGGGAGCCAAGGTCTGTCTTATGCAGGAAGCCTTAAAACTATCCTCAACCAGAATTGTTGAAAAACTTTACATGAATAGGTTTTTAGATAATGAAAGTAGTTAGGCAAAGTCTGATTTGGAATATAGAATAGTCTTCTAGAATATTCCCCAAACATTGTATGATAGATTAACATTGAAAAATTTCAGTGTTTCTTCAAATTTTATCTTCCTCAATGGTTCTGTATATTCTTGGTCTTTTTTCATTATTATAATTTTACTTTCCATTTTATATTCTACTGTCTTATCCCTTTTACATTGATGAAAAATATGATTCCCTTCTTCCAGCATGGAAAAACTAAGTGGTTTTGGACTTGTAAACAGTGTGATAATTAAATGTTCATTCTAATAATAAAATATTTACAATACCAAAACCTTTTCTGTGCATTTATGATTCTTTTTCGGTGTGTCGCTGTAATGTTTCCTCGAGTCACGTTTGTTCTCTATAAACTTTCTACTCCTGGGCTGTCTCTATAGCCTTTCTTCAAAACATTTCTGTTATGCTGAACTTCCTTACTCTGGGCTGTTTTTCCATGGGACATTATACACACACACACACACATACATACATACATACATACATACATACATACATACATACATACATACATACATACATACATACATACATACATATACACACACAGTATATATATATCAGTAATATTCAGAACTGTCTGCCATCTTTCCTCGAGACATTTCTGTTACACATAAACAACAACTCTCTAGACTGCTTATGTAGCCCTTCCTCGAGTTTTCTTATTACAGTATTTATACAGAATCTCAATCTCACTCTGTACCACCTGCTGTCCTCTGAGTGTCCCCAGCCTGTGTTTATATTCTCTTCACTATATTCTTTTGGACTCATAATTTCCACAAACATTGACCCCACATGCCTTTTCTACTTCAACACTTCACAGTTTGCTCTTTTAATCACTTACCTCATAGTCCATTTCTTGTTCCTAATACTAACCAGCAAAATTTTCAAAGGATTATTCTCACTAACACTTGTCTTTCTCATTAATTTAATTTTATATCTTTTGCCAATTTTTTTTTTTATTCAGTTATTTAAAGATTAAAAGACAAATTAACTTGACACTCCTAATTCGGTTAACATTTCCAGTTTGCTCTGCAACACTGGCGGACTCGTATGAAAAGAGAAAAGTCAGCGGAAGAGAAATTTCGAGAGCGGCCTCTAGTGTTACGGAAGAGGAGAGAAAAACTGAAAGCTACTGCAAATTGGCCTCTCTTTTATTTTAAGTTTAATCAAGATCATTCACTTCCGAATTTAATATGGAACTACAAAGTAAGAGATTTTAAAATTACTTGTTAACATAATGCAGCACAGATTAAGCCTTAGAGGTGTGGTCTTTGTATTACAATATTGCATGTTGAGTATTGAAAGTTGTTCCCCAGTAATTGCAGCCCTGCCTGATTGTCAACATAGTATAACAAATAATCAAGCCAGGAGGTTTGCGACTCTTTTTCAGGAATGTTTCATTCCTGTTTCAGGAATATATTTCCCAAAATCGGCTTTAGTTAAAATACTGAGAATTTCTAGGCATAATTATTTGTTCAATTCATCAAGCTGAAATGCAAGTAGAGCTGAGATATTACCATTAATAGATCACACATTTGGTAGCATTCATATGCTTTGTACTTCTTAAATGTCAACTTGGCTAGCTAAATTACACTTGGTATTTTGATCAGCTATGTTGTTTGTATTAATTAAGAGCAGACCTTGAGTGTGGTTCAAATTTATTTAGAGCTACCCTTATGTGGTTTAAATAACCTTACTTAAATATATTGCAGAATGGTGTAGGCTATAGACTTTACTCCTATTCCTGAATAGTGTACTTTGTAACTCCTTATTTATTTAGCTGAAAGTTTGTCTTTGTTTATCTAGTAATAATGTTTACAATTTTATTTCTGATGTTTTTCTCATTACCATTACAAAGTTCCTGGGTTATCAAAAGTGATTATCCTCATTAATATACTTAAAATATTTAACTAAGTACTGTATAGCTTAGACAAAAACCTAATTTCTTCTTTTTAGACACGAGAAGAGTTAAGGGTAGCACTTGAAGCAGAAATGCGTGCCTTTAATGAAGATCGAGATGTCAGAGGAGCAATGGTCATTGCGTGGAATCACCATGAATTTGAAGTACGTTATCTGACACACACACACACTATTGAGATATTTTTTGTATTTTTCAAGATCATACAATACGCTTGCTATCATCTGGTAGCAAGATGATAGCAAGCTGATCTCTTTTCTTTTAAGGCTTCAATAAGATTAAAAACTATCATAAAAACTTGTAAATTGAAATTAACACAATTAAAATTTACAGCTCTGATATTTTTTTAATTATTACATTTGGTGTTGTTAATATTTCTCATTCTTTTAAAACTCACAATGCAAATTTTTCAGGTTAGTTACCCATCACTGAGAGATGAGATCAAAATTGGTGACTACTATCTAAGGATCTTACTGGAGCAGGAAAATAACACCTCAGAGGAGGAGTCGCCTATTAGAAAATCGTATGTTATTACCATTGCACATTTCCCACAAGGCAGAGCATGTAATCATTATATTGTATATACTGTGCATGGTTGCATTATTTGTTGAAGTAGCAGGTTACTAGGTGTGATTTTTTGCTAACCACTAACCATTAATAGCGCGTGTAAGGGGTGTTACAGGGTAAGTAGACAGCCATCAATTGCTCGTTGTCTTATAATGGCACCCCCCCATTGTGTAGGGGTCAACAGTGTGGATTTTCCCTGTTTTATGTAGTAAATGAAGTACATTTTTATTAGACTTACATTCATGCTCCACAGTAAAATTACATAAATGCCTTGTGGGAAATATTGATGCTTATAATTGTCCCACAGGTATGAATTCTTCAATGACCTCTACCATCGATTCCTCCTGACACCAAAAGTGGCCATGAAGTGCCTCTGTTTGCAGGCCATGGCACTTGTATATGGCTTGCACTACAAAGACATTGGTCAGTTCAATGACACACGCTACATCGTTACCATGCTGGCTCGTACCTGTGATAAACTTGAGAGGGACCGATTACTCCTCTTCTTGAATAAGGTGAAGTTTACTCTTTAGTTATTCCTTCCTAAATCAGTCTTCTTGCTTGCTGTGTAGGGGGACCCTATGCCTTTTTTTTTATATATATATAAATATCTGAAACCCACTAAGAAAATTTAGAGAAGTTCGTTATGTGGCATAGTTGTCACATTTACAGTTATTATGAGCAGCTTCCACTGAGAAACATAGACAGTTTAGAAAAATGTTTAACTTATGGCAAGGAGGGCAGGAGAAAATAATGTCTGTAAGAAGCAGCCAATGACATATGACAGAAAACGCAGCAGTTAAATGTGATTTTGCAGTAAACTTTCACCGAGATAGTCATTGTATATACAGTATTGACATAAATGATGTAGTAAAAAACATGGAAACGTTCTCACCGATGATAATGATGGGAAAGCAGAGTACAGGCAGAGTTTGGCCTGGTGGACCAAACTCTCACAAGTCAAGCTTGGCCTCGGGCCAGGCTTGGGGAGTACAGTAGAACTCCCAGAACCCCATCAAGCAGGTATCAAGCGGGTAACAGTAATGTTTGGGAGAAAACCCAAAGTGTGTTCAGAGAGCTTTCATAAAGAGCAATAAAATGCAAAAAAAAAAATATATATATATATACTGTATATATATAAATAAAGACAGATTAAGAATACAAAATGTGAGTTTTAAATTTTGAACAGATAGAACCTACAACAGTTTGAGTAATAAAAGTTATATTTTTTCATATTTTATAAGGAGTAACAGTAGTGACTGATTTTAAGACATTAGCTGAGAAAACTTTTAAGAATATTGGAAGAGTTGTATGGATGAAAACACAAAATATTTGAAATATTTCCCACAAAAGTATAAAATATGGTAATGAGAAGGTAGGATGATAAAATAAATACTGTTTGTACTTTGAAAAAATAAAATTATCATAAGGCTAAAAGCAGAAGGTAATACTGTCCCTCGAAGCATATTGATGTTCTCATGCAGGCTAAATGGTTTGCTTCTTTTCCCCCACTATATTACCACATAAATAAATTTTGTTGTCATTCTTATTTATTTTTCAAAATGTGAATTAGTTGAAGATGACTTCTTTTTATCTGCAGTTAATATTAGAAAGGTCCAATGTACGTGAGGTTGTTGACGCAGGCGGTGTGCGCATTCTTTCTGACCTGCTGACTCTGGCCCATCTTCATATCAGTCGTGCAGTCATGCCAACACAGACCAATGTGATTGAGGCCTCGCCTGACATGGCACGAGACTCTGAGAAAGAATGGTATTATCAGGTGAGAGAAAATATTCAAGCTATATGATTGTTCGGTTGATGATTTTACTTAACAAGATTTAAGTGCATAGTGAGCTCTCAGTATCTACAAAGAGGTACATTCTCGGAAATAATATGTCTATCAACATCGACATTTTATTTAAATTTATAGATTTATAAGAAAAATGATAGTGTGCATTTAGGCACTCGAAATGACGTTCAGGGGCTAGAGTGAATGAAATACAAAGAGTTAGTGATTAAAGGGCAACTAACATCTGTAAAATGGGAAAGTTTAGGTATATTTATGGGAAAGGTCCCATAAGACTAAAAGATAATAGAGCCAACCAGAAGTGTACCGTATGTTTAAATAGGGCTGCAAATAGGCTTGCTGTCACAGCGATCCCCTTAGTAGTGGTTCTATGAATGGAATAGGGGCATAGAGATTAAATATGTAGGTAACATACTTTAAATAATTATGGAATTCCCTGTTATTATTGTAATCGGTATATGCTAACACATACATATGCTTTACAGGGTACTAATAAAGAGAGAGCTGGACCATTTAGTTTTAAGGAACTCAAAGAATGTTGGAGTAGTGGCACCTTAAGCCACAAAACACTGTGTTGGGCCCAGGGCATGGATGGCTGGCACCCCCTGACAAGCATTCCCCAACTCAAGTGGTCCTTGGCTGCAACGGTAAGACCACTCCTATTGTTTTATGATTCAAATGATGGCTCATATAGGGGTCATTGTATTACAGTATTTTGTTAAATTGTTAATTTTGTTTAAAAGTTAAATTGAATGCAAATATAAAATATTCTTTCAAATGGCAGGGTGCAAAATGTGCTTGCCTCCATGTAAAGTATGAAAAATGTGCTGATTTCAGAGTAATGCAGTCATGACGGAAAGTGACCTTGCGACCCTCATCCTCAACATGCTCGTCACCATGTGTAGATATTTTCCTTCACGGACAGAGGATGGAGCAGTCATACGTCCACTACCTCGTATCAAGAGGTTACTCTCTGACGCACTCTCTCTCCCACACATTGTCCAATTGTTGCTCACTTTTGATCCAGTCCTAGTTGAGAAGGTAATTAACAATGGTCTTCATGCATTCTTTAATTGGGTAACTCTGATAGGCAAACCATATAGTTTTGTCAGATTATTGCTCTATAGTTTGTGTTTTTTTTTTTTTTTTTTTTTTTTGCCACATCTGAAGGTTGTCCTTGCTATTTCAATTTCATTTTCCTTTCTATTGACAGTATCAGATTTTAGAACCATATAACACATTGTCGGAGGTAATGGGGAAGACCATGAGCGATATGTCAAAACTCAATAAGCATAGCTTCACTGTAATTAACTTACACCTGTTTTGATGTTAGGGAATAACCAGTGTAATCTGTCACAGCTACTACTACCCAATAAACGAAGAACTGTTTATGTTTAGTTTTTTAACTCAAAACTGATACATTTACTTTCCAAAGACTATGTACTGTTTAGCAGGTGAGTTTATCTTTGCCATTGTATATTCTAAAAAAAAAAAAAAATATGTATATATACACATTCCCACCACTACAAACCACCACCAACACTCCATGTTCATTACATTCATGCTGCTCATTACTCTGCCTCTACTTACTCATTACAGCAACCTGTATTCATAGACCCCTGAACTATTTACACCACCCTCTTCATATCTTGAGTTATGCTGGCCTTGAGATGCCTTTCTCATTTACCTTTGGGGGATCACAATATCTAGTTCTAACAAATAATTTATATAGTGTTTCTAAAGTAATCTATATGATAGTTGCAATCATTTAACTTTGATATACTCTTAACTGATTTTATGATTTTATTCTTAAATTAGATTGTTGACCTAAATCTATCATGGCAATCTATTAAATATATACAATTTATTCTTTGTTAAGTTTATTATCTATGCAAGATAATAAAGTACATTATTCTGCTTTACTTAGGTTTCCACATTATTGGTGGAGATCATGCAAGACAATCCAAACATTTCAACAGTGTACACAACAGGAGTATTTTACTTCATTCTCATGTATATGGGATCGAATGTGTTGCCCATTGGACGATTCCTCCACATGTCACACATGCAGCAGTCATTCAGGGCAGAAGAGGTAAAGTATCAGAATTGTAACAATTAAAAAAAGAGTATTTTTGTATTACACTAATGAATAATTAAATTGTGAAGGATATTCAGTGATTGAAAACCTACAAGAGGCAGTAATCTTTTAGTCTGTTATACAGTGGTCTGCACATTTTACTCTTATTTGGGTATGTATTAATAATTTTCCTTACCCTGCTGGAACAGAACCCAGGTGGAGACATCATGCATCAAAGTATTCTGGGCCAGATCCTTCCTGAGGCCATGGTCTGCTACCTTGAGAACTATGGTGCTGATAAATTTGCTGAGATCTTTTTGGGAGAATTTGACACCCCAGAGGTAAATAGCTTTTGATTACTATGTATTTTGGTGTGTGATTACCTAATTCTTATCAGCTTTTTTATTACCCTCTCTCCAGCACATTGATTACCTTATCCATTACTTTTATTTTAGGTAATTTGGAGTAATGAAATGCGCCGCCACATGATTGAAAAGTTGGCTTCACATCTAGCAGATTTCACTCCTCGTCTGATGAGTAACACCCGCGCCCTCTACCAGTACTGTGCCATCCCACACATCACATACCCACAGCTGCAACATGAACTCTTCTGTGACATTTACTACCTGAAACATTTATGTGATATTGATCGCTTCCCAGACTGGCCAATCAAAGACCCAGTAAGTATCACTCTGAAAATAGTTTTATTTTACACTGGGTAATATGTGTATGTTGTTGAAGTTACTAAATGGCCCACTTTTGTAGACAGTTCTAATTGAGCAGGCTTTCTGTTAGCTCTGTCAATCAATCTGTTTTCTTAATTTATTATGAGCAATAGTTATATAGAGTATTCTAATAGTAGTGTACTTATATGAACTTTTATAATTATTCGCAGCTTTTCTGGTAGTAAATTGGTTCAATTTAGTTTTTCAGATCTACACTCCCACTGTAGTGTGACTTGGTCCACTCTGTTCTCTACACCTCCACATCCCATCATCATACCCCATTTCATAATTCATTGAGATGGGGCAGCACTAGCTCAAAGAAGAAGAAGGAATGAAATAATGGTAGAAAGTCATAGATATTTAAAAATAGTACTCGTTCATCCTTTTTAATACTGTACCCTATTAGAAGATTCATGGCTGAAGTAGCACCACCATACTCCACCACTTATGCATTGCAACACCTCTCCATTCCATAAGACCAGGTGTACAGTGCTCTTTATGAGCTCACATATACAATACAAACAAGTACATTAGGTCCTTCAAACAGCCGGCACCCAGTCACGTTCGTTATGGAATTACATGTGTTGTCCGCTCTGGCCTTCCTCCACTCCTACCCTCAAGTTCACTGGAATACAATCTCTTCAGAGGTGTCATCGATCGTTCATTCATCGTACACAAATGCTAATGTGCATATTCCACATAACAGGTGGCCTTGTTGAAGAGAGTCTTGGCAGCATGGCAGAGTGAAGTAGAGAAACAGCCGTCATCAATGACTGTTGAAGATGCTTACACAGAGTTGGGCCTTGAACTTGATTCTCGACATGATGATGCTAAGATTCGGAAAGCATACTTTAGACTTGCTCAGAAGTACCATCCAGATAAGAATCCTGATGGAAGGGTAATGGGTTTCTGTGCTTAATTTGTATTTTATCTAATGCTGTTGAACCTAGAAATTTTACATGCTGTATATTAATGTATACATTACTGTATTAAGTAAACAGTAGATTTAATCAAATATATACTTTCCAAGTAAGCAGGTTTTCAGACAAATATTTTTGCTTCTCATTGAATGTGAAGGAAGTCTGCATTGGTTTCCTTATTGAAAGAGAAAATCAAGAATGAAATCATTAAGTTTCATCTAGTGTTATGAATTGTAGAAAGTTTATTTTAAAATATTCCTAATCAATTTTATATTCTTTTTAGGATAAATTTGAAAAGGTCAACAAAGCCTATGAATTCCTATGTAGTCGGTCAGCACATGCAGTTGATGGACCTGACCCAAAGAATATCCTTCTAGTAATCCGAACCCAAAGCATTCTCTTCGCACGGTATAAGGATGGTAAGTTTTTTTTATCAGACGTTTAATTTGAAAAATAACTATTTTTGTAAGGCATTGTAATGTTGATGTACAGTGATGTGGTAATGATGGTTGTGATGAATAGTGATGTAGCAATAATGGTGGTGGTCAGTTATGTGGTAAATTATGGTGAGATGGTAATAATGGTGACCACTTTTATCCAATTTTGTTTTGGGGGGAAGGGGGGCAAAGAAAGGTGTGACATAATTGTGCAAATACATAAAGGTTTTACACACATTGCATTAATAATAATTACACAAAGCATATTTGAATTGGTCAGTTGGTGAAAGGTTGTGTATAATGAAAGGATAATGCATGCCTTAGTGAGGTACTGTATATAATATGCTCATTAATAGCCTGTATTTTAATTTGTTCTATTTGAGCTATCTTATCTTATAGGTTCTTATATATTGCTTTGAATTGGCTACTTTACTATTTTGGTTTGCCCCACTACAGTTTACTGTTAATGGCAGACACATTTTTTGTTTATGTTTATCTTTTGCAATAGTCTTCCCAAGGAATTCCTCGCTTGTAACAGTTTTCCTTCATTTTAAGTTGACTCGGATTTATCTTCTGAGTGGTGTACCATATGTGTATTATAACTGTAAAAGTATTTGATAAATTGACACAAGTTTTTTTTACAGTGTTCCTGCTTGGTGTACATTCAGGTGATTCGATTATCCTTTCTATACGTACCGGGTAGTTAAGCATGTTCCAATCATTAAATCATTAGTACCTACCATACTATTGCTTCATGTTCACGAAACTTAAGGCATGTTCTACTTACAGTGTTGGCACCATACAAATATTCTGGCTATCCAATGCTCATCAAGACCATCCAGTTTGAGGCCGATGATGATCAACTCTTCAGTAAAGAGACATCACTTCTTGCAGCCGCGGCTGAGCTCACCTACCACACCATTAACTGCTCTGCGCTTAATGCTGAGGAACTAAGAAGAGAAAAGGGACTTGAGGTGGATCATAAAATAACTTTGTCTTAACCTTTCTGGTTATTTTGTCTATTTTATCTAAAAAAAAAATTGTTTAGAAATTTCACATTGTATTTTTTAAAGAAATATGTGAAATTAATAAGGGAAACAATTAATTAAGGAAGATTATGAATGAAATTGACTGGAATTTGCCTTGATTGCTATGAGAAGCAGCATTGGAATGTATAGACATCATTGCATTGTCATTATGTACCTCATTTCCTACTTTAGTTGAGTTAGGAGGCATTTTACCATGTGAAAAAATGAGTAACATTGTAAAAGAAGACTATTGTTATTAATATTGCATCACAGGCAAATATATTAAACCCTTGTTGTGAAGCATAGATTAATCTGTTTTTAAAGATGTAAACGAATAGCACCACATATTGGTAGGGGGGGGGGAAAGTGTCGCCACATCCATATGTGGAATGTAAGTCTACCTGCAGGTTTGAATTATGATACTTGTGCAGATGATGAGCCACAGTAATGTGGCTGAAAGTTAAATACCCAACCCATGAATCTGAAAATGATGAATTGACAAGATTTTGGTTGGTCATGTACCATTATGACTTGATAATGGTCCAGGATGGACCAAAACATTATCACTTCTTCATTTTCAGATGTATGGGTTCGGTGTCTATACTTTCCTTAATATTTGTTACTAATGAACGTATTGCATAAGTTGTCTTTTGTGTATCTTTCAGGTACTCCAAGGTGCCTATAACAGGTGTGTGGGTGTACTTAATGCCAGCAGTAAACCCAGTGATGTTGCTGTTCAGGTCTGTACAAACATTGCACGGTGTTATACAGCAGCTGCATCTTTCCCCATGTGTCGTGAAAAGCTCATCGAAATGTCACACTTCATCAAGGATCTCTGTCACACACTCTATTTCAAGGTAAGACAAATTTTTTTTTATAAATAACCACTGACTGCAGTGGATTTCCACTCTTAAGGATATTATGGGGCAGCTGGGTGGCTCTGTATATCAGTATATGCTTGTTTTTAATTTGCATTTCCCTCAGTAGCTTATTATTATTAGGACCTCTGTCTCAATGTAGGTCTGACACAGCTTCCTTAGTTATCATCATCACTCAGGAAAGGTGAAGGGTCATTTAGAGGAGGGGTCATAAGGTAGGAGAGGTGGTAACTGGAGGAAGTAATGAAGCCTCTTAGGATTCATCTGTTTGTCCAAGACATTTTTTTTCTCTGTGGTATCTATCGCCGTATTATTCATGATGTATTTTTATACATTAATGTTAGAAATTGGTTTTAGAAAGACACATTCATTTTACATCACGAGTTATCATGTTCTTTTTTTTATCTAATTATCAGTTTCACTTTAATTAAAATCTTCCCATATACTGTATCAACTTAGAGGGGAGAAAAGTGAATCGAAACTTCCACCTAACATGTGTGCTTTATCAGTAAAACATTAATTTTGTTTAGTGACTAGTTCTTCAGTGATGTTGCCATTCCATTGTTCAGTGTATTAACACAGTGCATATTCAGGGATTCAATAAGATGAAAATTTGCAGTGATTTTTGGCTGTGCAAGTATATCCTAACATCCATATGCTTTAGCTTAATATTATTATTCCCAGTGGGCAAAAATGATCGAGTGATGTTTAATCAACTTTGGATTAATGTCCATTTATTATTGTCATCATTTAGACTTAATATAAACATCCTTAAACTTCTGTTCCTTATTTTTTTAGCTAGCCGCATTAATTGTACACCTTTATACGATTCATAAAATTTTCAGTTTGCACGCTATAAATCATTTTCGCATCCTAACTCATACACCTTATCAACACTGTATTTATTATCATTCTCTTGTCTAGTGTGTCACATTTTATACTTACAGAATTATTTCAAGTAAAGGATTTACTACTAAACCACTTTGTAAATTAAATATTAAATTTCTCCTCTTGCTCCCCTGTGACTCAATTTTTCTGGAGTTATTACATATTACTTTCCCTTCACCTAACCACATCATTAAATATTTGTCATCAACCCTTGCAGTTCCTTCATTGAACTTGATGAAGCCCTTGTAAATTATTACTGGTATGTATGAACATGATGATGATGACTAGAATGAAATGATAAAAGTAGTGCTTTTTGAACTTTTAGTATACTTCAATTCACCATTAAAGTGGATGCTTCTCCAGTAAACTGGTCTCTTCACCAGTAAACTGGTCGCTTCACCAGTTAACTGGTCGCTTCTCCAGTAAACTGGTCGCTTCACCAGTAAACTGGTCGCTTCACCAGTAAACTGGTCGCTTCACCAGTTAACTGGTCGCTTCACCAGTTAACTGGTCGCTTCACCATTAAAGTGGCCTCTTCACAAGTAAAGTGGTCACTTCACCATCAACAATTAAATAGCTCCAATCACTATCTGCAATTACCTCCTGTACTTGAAACACCAACTGCATCTATGTACACTAAGTACTTAAGTTACCGAACTACTATTTCTCCCCGTGTGCACCACAATGTGGAACTGAACCGTTTATGGGTTAAAAATGGCTGCTTCATTAGTAAAGTGACACCTTCACTGGTAAAGTGTCCGCTTCACCGGTAAAGTGTCTGCTTCACCAGTGAAGTCACTGGTAGAGTGACAACTTTACCAGTAAAGTGACAGCTTTACATTTCACTGCTCTATTGACTTGAGTGCTTGCTGAATCTTCAGCAGTCCAGTCATGTTCATCATTGTCACAAATAAATTCTCTCTTCAATATTTAAACTTCATTTTACAGAACCTTTTAGTATTCATGAAGATTGTGTAATTACAGAGAGTGCTTATAATTATTTCCTTAGTGTTGTGTAAAAATTTCATATTTGTGGAAATAGTAGAAGCTTAAAAGTAATGTAGTTAATGGAAGTACAGTACATAGTGAAATAATGGTATTTAGAATCTTTATATTTTACATTTTGATTTTTGAATATTAATAGTTTTGTACCTTGAATATGAGACAGTTGCAATATTCATGTAGAAAATGAGCAGTATAAAAGCTATTGAGGACAGGTAGAGGCATGAATTAATCATACCTCAAGATAGAAACGACATGGGCATGGGCGTCTTCTGCTTGATGAAGGCATTGGTAGATATTAAGCACATGGCTTATTCTTAGGCCTGGAGTGGATAGCTAATACACTCAGAAGATAGTAAGTTCCCAGGAAGCAATAACAATTTATGAAACAGAGATTATGAGGAAAGTTGAATCCAAAGGTCATTACGTTGTGGCTGTAAACCTGTGACCGAAGCCAAGGGGGATGAATCATTAAGTTGTGGAAGTAATCAGGGTCAATACAAATATTGTAGACACAAAATTTGAATGGTATTGAATCTATGGAAAAAACTAAGTTAGAAGTTATAAACTCATAATAATTATGAAGTCAGAGATATTACATTTTGGATTTAGTGAAGTTTTCTGTGGAGAGCCCCTTTGGCTCCCTGGAACTATACCGGGCTGATGTGTATATATATTAGACCATGGCAACAGTCAATCAATGGAGTTCTAGCCTACCGGGGATCACGAGCCAGAACCTGGCCCCCTCAGAGAGGCACGAAGAGCAATGGCCTAAAGACACCCCCTATGTAGTTGGAAGCAGTCTATGTCTTACCATCTACCAGGTCAGGCACCCAGAAAGGTAGGAATCCAAAAACAAACAACAGCTGGTTAAAAATTGCAAACCAAAAGCCGAACGAGTAAGCAGAACTCCCCAATCAGAAAACAAGCGAACAAGCCTGACGTTACCATAGCCGCTGCAAGTCTCCCAGGTCGTCTGCAGGATTAATCAGTCCAACCAGCCTGTAGTCTACCCCTGTGCCCACGACGTTCGTAAGTTTGTGGCTTTGACTGCTGTTTTTGGTAATATGTCCTGGGCTGACATTCGGGCACAGGGCTTTTGGAGGTTGAACAGGGTCCTGGCCGCATGATACCTCGTTAATGTGCCTGGTCCTTCTCGGACGTGTGTAGCCTTGGGTCGCAGGTTGCAGCCAGTTGTCTCAACTTCGAGTTGAGGAGCGAGTGGTTGCTGCCTCCCTGGTAAGTCTCTCTTTTACTTTATTTTTGGTTAGGTAGCTCCAGGGAGCCGAAGGGGCTCTCCACAGAAAACCAGTGTTGAATGTAATGAAACGCCATTTTCTGGGTGAGGCCCGGAGGCTCCCCAGCATTCCTCCCTCTTTCCAGTCGGTGTTTTTATATTCAGCCTCTGAACTGGGATTGGGTAGCCAGCGCACGAGGTCTGGGCCCTTCCCCCCCCCCCCAGGGATGGGGAAGCTACATAGACAGCGACGCTGTGGCTGTGGTAACGTAATGCTTGATGGCTTCTGTATGGATTGGGGAGTTCTACTTGCTCATTTGGATTTCGGTTTGCAATTTTTAACCAGCTGTAGTTTGTTTTTGGATTCCTACCTTTCTGGGTGCCTGACCTGGTAGATGGCAGACATAGACTGCTTCCAACTACATAGGGGGTGTCTTTAGGCCATTGCTCCTCGTGCCTCTCTGAGGGGGCCAGGTTTTGGCTCGTGGTCCCCGGTAGGTAGGAGTCCATCGATTGACAGTTGCCACGATCTAATCAGACTGGTATAGCTCCCGGGGAGCCTTCAGGTCTCACCCAGAAAATGACGTTTCATTACATTCAACACTGGGTTTTTTGAGTAGTGCTGATGATAATGGGTCAGAGATAATAAGTTTTCTTTATTTGACCTAAATTTTAGATTTTTGTCTTGGTACATGTTAAAGTTTTGAAGAAATTACACGTTAAGTTTCCTTCAAAACAACCTAATTCTCATGTTGTGCTGTTCTGGATACTTCTAATTGGAATCATTATGTACAGAGACAAATTTAGTCTTGATTGGTTTAAGTTTTACACATCACGCAGAGTATTGAAGATGAAGCGAATTTTCATCGTTAAAATTTCAAGCACATTGCTCGACAAAACCTCGGGAACTGTTTGTATGCTATTTGAGTTACATCACCATCCCCCCCCTCCATCCCCAACTGTGCTCATTTGTGTTGTCCCTCGTGCGTTCACAGGATCTAGAAATGACCCAGTTTACGAAGGATCTGTGCCATATGCTCTCATTCAAGGTGAGGGTGGGTTGATGGTGCTTCTTTTTAAATGCCTTTTTCTCTTTTCTGTTTTAAAAAAAGGTAATACAGCATCATAACCTGCTCTGCTGCAGACAATGCTTTTTTGTTTTTAGAAGTGTTTGTACTGTGTTTTATTTTGCCACACACTAATAACTTTCTTTGGTGGAGTGGCTGTCTTAGAGTAATGATTACTGTGTAAGGCTACAGAAGGCTTCTTTTGTGTTGCATTATTTTTGGTGCAATATTCAAGTACAATACTTATTTGAAAATATTTTTGTATTTTTATTTGCTTGTTTGCTTTTATGAAACATCTTGAGGTGTTTCATATTTTGAACTGATACTTGCAATTTATGCTAAAAAAACTTTTTAAACAGTAGTTTAGGTTGCTTATCATTAAATTCAATTTTTTATGAAACGGGTGAAAGGCATAAGGGCTATGCCTGTGTTTACCCACTCGTTCCTCTGTGGTTCTTTTTCCATAGGGGTGATTTCTCCATCTCTAGCATTTTTATTATTCATGTTCATTTCCCATATTAGAACCCATCTTCCTATTTAAATTGAATTTTTTTAACCATGTTCACCATAGTTCAAATATTGATGTACTAAGCAATTAGATAGTAGAACTTTGTACTATTCATTTTATAGAATCCAAAAAAATAACGCTAAAAAACAAACTTAAATATTCCTAGGCCCAGTATTGCACACACTATATTAGGCCTCAGATAGTGTGTATTAGGACTAGGAAGGTTAGTTTAGGTTTTCTTTGCAACATAAATACAAAACCCTTTCCAGTTTGTCCATATTCAATAGTACAGATTTCTACTCTCTAATTGTGTTGTATTTCGCTATATGTACTATGGTCCTCATCATTACTATAAGTACTACCAAAACAGGAGGATGGGCTGCAAATTAACATTTTTAAATCCTTCAGAATATATAAACTTTTAGTATACAGTTAAAAATTATATCCCAGTGTTGTATTTTCACAAAGTAGTTCTGTGACTGCCTTCTAAACTTTATAAAATATTTTGGCGATTCCCATTTGCTTCTTTCATGATAAAATAGGAGCTTACAAGTACAGTATTATTAATTCAGAGTGTTGAACATATAATTTGTACAAGTGCAAGATCATTTTTACTAAAGTGTTCACTCCTGACATTTTAATTATTGCTAATTACATTTGGTTTTCTTTCAATTTGGTCTCTAAATTGATTTGCGGTGTTTTATTGTAAGTGGCTGGTGTTTTTTTTTATTTTTGTTTTCTTGGGAAGCATTCCCACCTTCACCTTTTGTTCAGTGATTAACCAGTGTCTTGAAGCACTTGGGCCCCCATAGCAAAGATATCCTAGTTTACTTAATTAAGTTTCCCATTTTCTTCATCCAGTTGGCAGTCATTTCTTCAGCTAATGTTAATTTTATCTCTATGCACATATGTTCACACACAAATTCATAATACGTAAAAGAAAACACTTAGGTAGTTACCCACACACATGCACACAAATTCTTTTGCACACACACACATTCTGTGAAATATGCAATAAAGACATGAAAAAATTTATACCAAAGCAGAGATGCAGAACTGGAAAGCAAGATTGGTTCTACAGAAATTGTGAGAGGGCCAGAGAGGGAAAGACAAGAAAATGGGTACAATATAAGAAGCCTAACCCTCAAACATACCACCACTACAAATAAGCAAGAAACAATTTCACACCAGTGAGGAGAGACAAAAAGGAACTTTAAGAAAAGGGTTGCAGACAAATGTGAAATAGATTCAGGCCTTTTCTATAAGTCATTAAAAGCAAGCTGCATGTAAAGGATAAAATCCAGAGATTGAGACTTGGAAACAGATTCACAGAAAATGAAAAAGAAATGTGTGAAACACTAAATGAACAGTTTCAAAATGTGTTTGTGCAAATTGTGATTTTTAGAGAACCAGTCACAATGCCAATTCCAGAGAAAACCGTAGCGTACATAGAGGTGTCTCAGGACGAAGTGGAAAAATTACTCAAGGGGCTAGGAAGAAATAAAACAGTTGAACCAAATAGAGTTTCAACTAGAAGATAGAAGAAGAAGAAGCAGAGGTGTTATGATCACCACTTACAAAATAATAGTAGGAATCAACCAAATTGTCAAAAAAGGAATTCCTGAAACAGCAACTTCACGAACAAGAGGACATAGATTCAAGCTCAGGAAACAAAGGTGCTGAAAAGGTATTAGAAGGTTTTCTTTTGCAAACAAAGTGGTAGACGGTTGAAACAAGCTAAGCAAGAAGGTATTGGAGGCCAAAACCGTCAGTAGTTTCAAAGCGTTATACGACAAACAGTACTGGGGAAGACGGCACGCCACGAGCATAGCTCTCATTCTGTAACCACACTTAGGTAATTACACTCACACACAGATGATTGGAACGGTTGGAACAAGTGAGGTGGTGGTGGAAGCTAAAATCGTCAGTAGCGTTCAAAGAGCAAAGAGTTATACGGCAGAGCGTAATGGGAAAACGGGACACGACGAGCATAGCTCTCATCCTGTAACTTCACACTCATTATGCCTTAAGTATTATTTTATATTTCATTGAAACTCCATTTCATCCTGATTATTTTCTTTGCCCTCCAAGATTTCTATATTTTAATTGTTGATCATTCATTATAACAATACTATATTATCTTCATTAATTTCTCATTTATCTGTAAGATGTTACCTTATGGCATTTACTTGAATAACTTACCTGAGACTTGCATAGACTCCTATAACATTTAGCCTATGTTGTAAAATGGCCCAAAATGTCATTCTTATTACTTGAGCATAACTGTAAATGGACACATTGGTGAGATGTGCATCATTCTTCTCTAATGTCTTTCTTTGCAGTCTCTGCACTGGAAAGCTTGTTTAAGAATAATTTGCCTTTTTGCCATTTGAGAAATTCCTGTTAACCCTTATAGTGCTGCCATCGTATGTTTATCATCAGTGTAATGCTCTAATTATTATGTGATGATTTGTGTTTTGTGTTGATGTTTGCATACCAGTGGTATTATGGTTCCTTACAATGCCTTATGGTTTCCCTGTAGCTCAGTGGTCTCTCCCATCTATTATGGGAGGTCATAAAATACTTCAGAGTCAGATGGACTCCAGTTCCTGGTTTCCCATCATTATATGATCCTAGGGCTTGTATTGACTATCCTGATTTACCTGAGGGGCCATTAACCCTAGTGGCTTCGATGAGGACAGGAAGCCGGCAGCTTGTCAAACGTCCCCCCCCCCCCATTTGCCTTGATGATGGCTTGCCTTGATCTGTCATAAAGATCTTCACTGTATATATTTATTTTGGTATTCATTTTACTTCTGCATAGAGATTCGTTACTTTGAATATATTTTATATGAAAATAAACACAAAAACATGTTTTGTTTGGTATTGGCAACCATTACATCATGATGCTGATGAATGCCAAAAGAAATGGTGACCATTGCCTGGGCCAAAATAAGAATAGTTACATGATTTTTGGGGTATTTTCTCTACTTTTTAATCCAGATCTTTTATAAGAAAAATCAAGTAGAATACTTATCTCTATTTTCTTGCTTATAGGCAAGGTGGCAATTGTTGTGAAAGCTACACTTTAAGGGTTAAAAAGCAGACTGTATTTGTGAAAAGACATTTATTTTTCACTTTTCTGTTTGCCATATTAATAATATTTTATGTTAAAAGTGTTGGATTGAGTAGCTTGTTTGTGATGTTAGATTGTTCGTTCTTCATGGACATTGAAATTATTTCGTAGTTTGGAATTTAGGTTGATAGAATTAGCTAGTACACATCCATTTAATTTTTGACGATCCAAGAATAATATTTTTTGTCATTTGTTTTGTGCAGTCCTTGCTGCGTGTGTGTCTAGTGGGTGTGGAGTGTGTGTCAGCACTTGCCATCGATCAGATCCTTCAGATGAACTTACTTCAAGCTGGCATCCTCTGGCATCTGCTGCTCTTCCTTTTCAACTATGACTATACCCTTGATGAAGGAGGAGTCAGTAAATGTGAAGACTCAAACCAACAGGTAATGTGCTTTCACAATGATTTGTTCTCATAATGCTAAATTTTCATTAACTGTATATATCATATTACCCTATACATGAATTTCTTCTGCATGAATTTATTCCATATAAAATTGCAGGTACAGTACATGTGTCCTTCAATTTATACGAGGGATATATTCTTGCAAAACCATAAAAAACAAACTTGAGATACATGGGGAAAAATATTATGTTCCAGACACCTTCGAGTCCAATTTATTATGTTTCCTCAACTAAACATCTATTTTAACTTTAATGTTTAATTCTCCATTCACTTTTTAGTTACAAATTCGGCACATAATGAAGTCCAAAATACTTGGTTTATTCAATGATGCATAACTATTTACAGTTTATTTTCCTTAAAGCACAAAAATCTATGGTGTGTTTGAGTCTGACTTATTGCTGAGAATGCAGTAGACCTAAGTACAGTATTAGCACAGCTCATCCTTTCTAATCGACATTATTCAATTCTTAGTTCTCATAACTTTGAAATTCACCTTCAAACTTCAAAACTGGGCTTAAAGGTGCTTTTGCAGGGTAATATTGCACAAATCACTTGTACCTTTTTAGCATGAAGAAAATGGCAAAAAAGCAGTATGGACAGTGGGTGAACAAGCAGATTGTGTCCTCACAAATTACACAATGACCAAATGTATGCACAGTGAATACACTCCAACCCAGCACATTAACTAATGGAGGCAGAAGGGATAGCTGGCAGGGCTTAAATACTCTGCATGGAACTCCCTCGAGCTGGACAATTCATCATTTTCTTAATAATTTTATTTTTTTTCAGGAACTGAGCAATCGACTATCCAAGTTGGCCCTCTATTCTTGTGGTCGTCTGGCTGGCTTGTTCACAGTGGATAGCAAGGAGACTCCACCCAATACTGTTATTCAGGCAGTGCTTCAGAAACTGCTGACCCCATACATTGTGTCCCTCATACCCACCTGCTCATCGGAAGAGGTAATTGACAGTCCTCTAAAGATATTAGGTAAATCTGTGATTTTTGGAATGTAAAGCATCTCAGGATATGTTGATCAGCTTATCATATGTTTTGTCAAGATAGCATCTACTAGTTACTGGTTCATTGGGAGTATAACATGTAACTTAACAATCTAAAGAAAAGTCTATTTCTCAAGCAGGACATTCATATAAGAAAGATGTAGATTTAAGAAAAGCTTAGTTTTATTTTAGGAGAGAAAATCATTCTTAGAGAGTAGGTTGGGAGAGCAAACATAGCATAAGATATGTTTAAGAAAAAAGTTTCAATTGCTTCACTTGACATTATTGTTCTTACATTTCATGTGTTACAATGGTTTGGCTTGTTTTACTCAATATCAAAGTAGCACTAATTGTTGGAAGTTTTACAGGTGTTAAAAATCTTGACAAGCAATGTGGAGACCCCCTACCTAATCTGGGACAATGGGACCCGCACACAGCTAATTGACTTCCTGGCCACCAATCAGCAGACTCATGTGCGCACAGGCCAGTCAGACCCAGAGTATGGGGCAGCTTTTGAATTTGAAGCACATAAGGATGAGCTTATTATTGGAGGAGTTTTTATCAGAATCTACAATGAGCAGCCTTCATTTCCTATACAGGTAATTGTGTATCTTTGATAGGGTAACATGATTTTATCATGATTGTTTTTCTTCTTCTTCTTAGATATTTAAAACACTCAATTTGTGCTAAAAATTATAGTTATTGTTGAAAATGAGCACTGAAGGCCAAGAGCAATATGTATCTTGTACATTATGGGTCATGGGTGCATTACAGAGGCATTATTATTTTGGCGCTATTAATGACCGAGTGATATGTCCATTGACCCACGTGTGGTAATTAGCTCATCTAGATATATGAGATATCTCTTTCTCTGACAGCAGTCTACTTTTGTTAGATATGTTCAGTATTAATTATTAAAGCAATATTTAATGGCAGAGTAAGGAAAAAACATGATGCTGTTATACTGACAACCCATACTGCTACATAAATCTGCATAGGTTTTTAGTGTTAACTGCATTAATTATTTTTGTGGGTCTCAATATTTTTACTCCCAACAGGATCGGAAGACAACTGTAATTTCATTTTCTTTAATAAAATATAAAATAACTTATTAACATCTCATTTTAAACAATGTATTTGTTATTGCCAACAGAGGGCAAAGGAGCTTACCCTTGAGCTTCTCCAATATATTGGTGGAGAAACGCAATACGTCCACTCTCTACTGTCTCTCTCGGCTGCCTCAGTCTCGCACCCACGACTGGCTCGTGTTGGTGATGCCCTTCAAGCTCTCGTCAATGTCATAAAGAATAACCCAGGTAAAGATGAATAATAATACAGAATAAGATAGCCATATTTCATACTTGGTATTTTTCAGTAGTTTTATATGTAGTGGAAAACATAACATCCGTACCCACCCACTGCATACATTAACCAGTGTGAATGCGTCATCATTCCCTCCCCGAATACTATATGTATGAATTAGACAATATTGGCACACTTCCAGTGTTTATTGTTTTTCATATAAAACTTTGTACTGCATTTCTTTATTTTTTCTTTATTTATAATAAAAAAACACAAATAGGTTGATGGCGTGTAAATATTTTTGGAAGGTTGGATCAGCAACCACACATTCACTCAGTTGGCAGCTTCACTCCTCCCTCATTTCCTTGCTTGCACAATATAACATGACATTCATACATTTTAATTTCCCCCATTTTGCATTTTCTTGGGGTATAGAAGCATTTGCCATGAAAAAAAAAGATATCTAATATAGTATAGTAAAATATTGTTTAAAAAATCACTAAATCTACATTATTAACTATATAGGACCATGGATGAACACCCAGAAATGAACACCATTGTTCATTCTCACTCCTTGGTTCTTCACACACTCATTCACAGTGTTTAGTTTCCTTCTCATCATTTTTCTCCTCCTCATACCATCAAATTCACAATCCTCAACAATATTCCAGCTTACATTCTGTAATGTAATAAACAAAAATTCATGTTAATAAGACTGTATTTCTTCTATTTTTTTATAATACAAAAATTAGGTGTATTGATGCAGGGAAAATTGATTGGTACGTAAAATACACCTTTGGTCTTGATGGTAAATTTACTTATTATATACAGCAACATTTGTAATAATATTTCCTATTATTTGTTGCATTGTGAGATATTCTTGTAGCCCAAGAATACCTCCTTTAGTTGGCTATGATGATAACCTGTCTAGTTTGTATAATTAGCACAAATGTTTCCACTTTATTGGTTTTCATTGTTTACATTATCAGATAGTTTTATTGTATTTTGTCATTAAGAGAACTGAAAGTTTGTTGTTGGATGAGAGAGACTGGGAGTTATGCCAGTATGTATCACTATTTAGATCAAAGCATTAAGGCAAGACATTTAAGACCTTTGTTATTGACCACAGGCCGAGACTGTAATGCATCCATAGATGGTGAGCGGGAACCAGGTACTATGAACTGCAACAGTGATATATGTACAGTGTATCTAATAGACAAGACATTATGCTAGTAAGCACACATTAATAATGCTTCTTCCATTTTTGTAATGGGTAATTTGAATCGATATCAAACATGCAGAATTATAATTCTTAATGTCTTGTTATTTCTGTTTGTTAAATCTTATTTTGAGGAACACTGGATGCTGTTAAGATCCATAAGAAAAATGAACTGAGAAACATTACAGTTGTGTCTGTTCCTCATGTTATTATGTTTGAAAGGTGATGTCAAATTAGAAATGGTTCTGGGTTTCCTTGTCAACATTGCATTCATTCTTCAGGTTTTCACACATCTCCCACATTGAGCAAAGGGTGGGAGATTGGACAACACTTTTTCACTATACTGTATACTGCTCCAAGCAGTAATTGGTAATTGAGGACATGGATATAAAATTATTAGTGGTCAGTGTTTTATTGTTAAATGGCACTGAAAAACCCTAATTGCTATCAGCACCTAGCCTACTGTAATAACAAGACATTTAGAAATAAATCTCATGACTATGATAATGATTGTAGTATCTGGTATTCTTCAAGATAAAGCTTTTTCAGACATAAATATCACATAAATATCACACCTGAACTAGCTGTTAGTATTTCTTAACAATTTATAAAGGTTTTGCTTTCTGGAACCACTTACTAGCCTTGTGTCTTGTCAGATTCAATAACCTTTATTGATCTTTATGGTGTTTGGTACTGTACTATTTTGGAAAGTCTGACTTAGACTTGTATCTGTTAGACCTGTTACAAACATTCTGACAACTATTTTTTTTGTTATCTTGCTTTTGATATTTTCATGCCAAGCAAAATGTCAAATGTTATAGTACCTATCATATGGCTGTGTTTACAGTGATGGAACCTGAGTCTGCATAATAATGTGGTTCGCTTTTTGTTTTTTTTCTGTGGCTAAAGGGTTAAATTGTTCCATCGTCAGCTGCAGCCGCTTCCATGACTAGAGTAGATTTTTTTTTAATTTGATATTGTGTACTGACATTTATTCGTGGTCAACCATTGCTCATTAATAAGTATTTTTTCCGGTCTATGTAATTCAGGATTACCATGTCATGTTGTTATGTATTGTTGCTAAATTATCACAATTATTCTTAAATGTGACACATTTGTTTTGGCACTGTTTGGATCACATTGCAAGAGACTTGCACTTATTGTAATAACTAACATTTATTTAACAAGATGGAATTTTATTTAAATAATTTGGGTAACAGTTCAAAGTGTAATGGTAGTATTTTTGTTGTGAAGTTAAGATTCAACCATTTGCAGATTGCATTGCAGAAACCTGGTTGTCCTCTCAGTACTGAATTTTTTATCATCACTGCCACCAGTGTTGGCATTCCCACCACCCACTCAGTAACCATTACTAATCATTAACCACCACAAACCACCACCATCACCATCATTAAAAACCACCACTAACAACCATCACCCCCACCACATTTCCCAGTTTTATTGGGGTGGCTATTCAATAGGTCAAAGGCTATACTGTACTGTATATATTGTCAACCACACTACCATGGATAATAAATATTTCATACCTGGGCACTAGGAGACTCGAACCACTGACCCCACTCATGGGGTCAGTGGTTCAAGTCTCGTAGTGCCCAGGTGAATGAAATGCTAGTGGATAGTTCATAGTATAACGGATAGAGCTTCTGTCCCCCACTTGTCGGGTCGGTGGTTCGAGTCTCGTAGTGCCCAGGTGAATGAAATATACTGTATATATATACTGTATAATATATAGAAAAAAGGTTAAAAATTATATAAAAGGCATTGATTCATTCATAATATTTTCTGCACTTTCTAGCATTTAGTTAAATCAGTACCATCAAACTTCAGCAAAACATACACAACAGTAATCCACCACTGTATACGACTACAGAGTGTTTCCTGTGATTTGTTATTTATATATATATTTATTTTTTAAACATTCCTTGAACTGTCTCCAAGTAGACATACTCTCATCATTATTTCTCATGTTCTTTCATACTTAGTTCCCACTTGACACTTTCGCCTGACAGTTCTTTTCCCTTCCTCATACAATCACTCAATGTGTGTACCCATCTTCTTGACTTTCTTCTCCTATTCTCAAATTCACTTAAATACTATCTTCACCACTTTTAGCATCATTCAATTTAACCAAACCTTCTCAAAATATACTCATCAATCTTTTGATTGACTAACGTTTGCATTCCACATCTCTCTGTGAGGTTTCATTCTTTAGCCTCTCCGACTAACACCACAATTACACGTCAGATAGTGCTTTTTTTACTGCTTTAACTCACTCACTGTTTTGTTATGCTCAAGCTGCACTAGCATCTAACATATATAATAATAAACATAGCCATAGCCAGCATGCAAAATGTGGCTCTTCTAGCCTCATTTTGTCCTATCTTCCCAACTGAGTTTTCATTTCAATGGCTACTTTTCTTTCTTGGGCTTCCTCATCTCAACTTCGTTTTCAGATACTTTTCTTAATTACTGAACTCTGATATTTAAGTGAGCGACCACATATAATTCACCCGTTTTAAACAGTGAGCTTTTCTTTCTCCACAACTAATACTACACATTTGTTCTTGTGAATGTTTAGCTATTTTCTCGCACATACTTTACCAAATTTTTCAACTAATAATCTACACATATCTCTGATTGTCCACAAAAAGAATTGCATCGTCTGCACACATCAAATTAGACATACAATACTTTCCATTCATTTCTAGCATATTATGACACATTCTTTGTATTCTCACTTTGATTTTCCATGTGACCCTATTTATTCATGGCATATTTTTTTGCAATTAACATATTTTATGAGGTACAGTAATGGGAGTGCAGTGTGTGCCATAACCTCTCTGTCCCCAATTAACATATCTTGGTATGTGTAGTAACTGTACTGCAGTGTGTGTCATGGCATCTCTCCCTCTCTGACTAATATATCTGGGGAAGTATTTAGTAGTTGCTATCAAATACCAGTTTTTTATTTTAAATTGTGGTTCATTTGACTAATAAATAAATTTAAACACACACACATGTTATGTACTGAATTTTAATTATTAAACTATACTTTCAGTTGGATATACAGTAGAGTAATTAACTCGGTTCTTTATTATCAGTGAAAAATGTATCATACATTTGGCAAAATGCATCAAATTGAAATATAATTCAACATCCTTATATTTGTATAATATATCCAAAGTTTAGTTTAAAAGAGCTGTAACCTGAGATGACTCTTCTCTGTGAACAAATAAGTTACCGGTAACTATAATTTAGTGATGTGAATTTTGTGTTTCAGGAGTTGAGATGCAGTGCATTGGCCACTTCAAACTTCTCTTCTCCCTGCTACGACTGGAGGGTTGTGTGTCAGTGCAGCAGTGTGTGCTAGCTGTGGTAGAGGGAGTGACTGGCAATGCAGACTGCGTCAATGATATTGCTGCATCGGAGGTATGCTATGATTGGCACGGTAACTTCTAGACATCGTCAATTCATGATAATAGTATAGTATGGACCAAAAGGATGCCATTTCCTTTATTTCAGATTTCTGGGTTCGGTGTCTTAATTTTCAGCGACATTATTGTGATTTAGTCTGTATGTAATTTCTAGTAATTTCTTGGTAGTACACTTAGACTGATAGGTACAAAGGCAACCTCACTTCTTGTAGAGAATCACTAAAAATTTGCCATAAAGATACATTAAACGTGTCTTTCAGTGGGTAAAATTTCATCTTAATAACAGTTGTGGCAGGTTTAAGAATTTGACATTTTATATTTTCAAAGAGTGTTGTTGGATTTTTGCTCAGTATTGCAAAATTCACTGTGAATAATTGCTTTAAAGCTAATGCACTTTTATCTTTGTGTGGATCATACAGTATGTAAATTTTTAACTTTCCAGCCATTTGGTAAAATATACAGCAATTAATTCTATAAACTTTTACCAAATGATTAAACGGTTCCAAATTTACATGCTGTATGAGCCACACAAGGATAAAAGCATATCAACTTTAAAGCAATTATTCAAGATGAACAACTCCACAAGGGTCATGATGAGGATTCGAACCTACGTCTGGGATGATGTGAACTGGACATAGGTTCGAACCCTCATCACGGCCCTTGTGGATTTGTTCATTTGATGTATCATGTTATTGTGATTTCTGTGTGTATTCAAGATGAATTTTGAGATATCGAACAAAATCCAACAGCACTTTTTAAAATTAACAATGTCATTCATTCTTCAACCTGCTACAACTGTTATCATTATGATGAAACTTTACCGAGTGTAAAGAATGTATCTCTCTCTATGTCTCTGTCTGAAGGGGGAGGCCAGAGGGTTGTGGTTAGCCTCACTAAACTTTGCAGGGTGACGGGCGGCTGTTCTGGAATAGTCATATGTAGATCAGGGTCAACCCTATACCTTCCCTTTGCTTGAAATTGTAGTCTTGCTAAATATGAGACTGCATCCTCAAAGGCAGGGAAGATGGTGAAGAATAGGCAAAGTGATAAAGTGTAGAGAAGTCATGGTGGTTTGTAGATGGGGGTTCCCAGTGATGCCTGGGTAGTGAAAATGAATTCAGTGATGTAGATAGAATGTAATGAAGATCACAGTAATAAGAATCATTGTTTGTAGTGCTGCCAATTACAGTGTTGAACATTTTGTACTGTGAGGACGGTTGCAGTGATGAAGACGGTAGTTAAGAGGGTTACAGTGATGTTTCTTTTAGTTAAGATAGTTATAGTGAGGCATTTAGTGTGTAGTATTGATTGTTTCTGATGATGGTTGTAATATGGTTACAGAGATAATGACTGTATAGTAAAGTTGGTTACAGTGATGATGGCTGTATAGTAAAGATGGTTATAGTGATGATGGCTGTATAGTAAAGATGGTTATAGTGATGATGGCTGTATAGTAAAGTTGATTACAGTGGTGATGGCTGTATAGTAAAGATGGTTATAGTGATGATGGCTGTATAGTAAAGATGGTTATAGTGATGATGGCTGTATAGTAAAGTTGATTACAGTGGTGATGGCTGTATAGTAAAGATGGTTACAGTGATGAAGATAGTGTGCAGAGAAGATGTGGCCTCCATTTTTCAAGTAATGCTGGGTAACTCCTCTAGTATATATTCAGTATATACATACAGTATATGTATATATGGAATAACTAATAATTACATATTTATCTTGAAGGATAATTATTACTCACAACATTGGACCATTAATTTTTCTATCTTGACAAATAATTTACTAGTTGCACCTCAAACATTGTGTAACCTCTACTTCTAAACATTGGACCACAGGTTCCATTGTTATCATGACGATATTAATTAACTAACTGCTGCTCAAAGCTTTTGTTAAAATGTATTTGTGTGTATTCCTTGCAAGTTATGTCAAGATATCCAACCATATAGGTGCTGGTGTACCTGATGCTGGCTCTGCACTCCCCGGCCCTCATACCTGACCGTATGATGTCTCTCAATATTCTCCATGCCCTTATGTCCAACACAAAAATAGTTAAAGAAGCACTCAATAAAGGTAAGGATCTGTTTTCGTTTTACAAATGCATTCACTACAGTGAAAAATAAGATATACAGACACACAAAAAGGTTTAGGAAATAGAAATAGAGAGGAAGAAATTTAGGGTGTCTACCCTTGTCTGCATCATTGTCGAGTGTACAAATTTATTTTATACAATATATTTATTTCTGGAAGGTGGCAGTTCCTTTATACTACATCACTATTGAGTGTACTTATTTTAGTATGGTGGAAGCAGCTGATGGTGTTAAGCTAGGTGTTTTACTTAGAGATTGCTGGAAAAACAAAAAAGTTGACTTTTTAAAGGTCTCTGAATTGCTTCTCATTTTCCTGTATAACCTTTAGCCCACTTTCCATGAATTTACATGTTCTGATGTTTTTCTGGAACACATCCCTCACCGATAGCAAGGGCCAACTGTATAGTGAATGAAAGGAACTAATATTTTATGCATCATGCATATGGGGAAGCTCGGCTACTATGTCGTAGCTCAGTCGATTAAGGCAGCGTCTGGGATGCTCCCGGACGCAGGTTTGAATCCTCGTCATGGCCCTTGTGGATTTGTTCTCGACTACTAGTTTATGTTTACCTCAGAAAAATGACATGTCTGGCAATTTTTCCATGACTAATTGTCATTACAACTGGTACAAATATTTCAGTGTGTGCCGAGATGCAAAAGTGTGAGGTTCCAAACTGCTTGATACAATTTTTAAACGAATTAATGCTTAGGCACACGCCTTGCAACATGAATATTAAATAGGAATCAATTTATTTTAATAGAATGATTTAGTAAGAAATACCTAATATAACACTTAAAGTAAATTGCAATTTACTTAAAAAATTATTGACAAAATAGAAATTACCCAGCTGCAAATAGTGGCATTGCAAATCCACATTTTGAGCATATGTGAAGGTACATTTTTTATTTTAAAATAGTCTCATCTTTGTTTTGTCTATATTAAATCTAATTTCCCTTAAACCAGCAATTTTTTTTACTCAAAAGTTTACCAATATCCACTGCATTGTAGGTGCAAAAATGCTCTTTTGTTTACCCTAAGCAAAAGTGACAAAGGAAACTCGGCTTCCAATCTGTCTTATCCAATGTTTTTAACATGGGTTAATGCAGCAATTCATTGGACACAAATTTCATTGATTGTGATTTTAATTTGAGTTTATTATTTATCAGGTGCTGTGATGTATCTGCTCAATATATTCTGCTCATCGGATGATAGTGATGTGAGAGAGAAAACAGCAGAACTCATGGGCAAGATGACTTGTGACAAGCTCGTTGGACCTCGCGTCAGACTTATACTTCTCAAGATTCTTCCTGCAGCCTTGGTTGATCAGATGCGTGACTCGCCCAGTACATCAGTGCACTTGTATGAGGCTCAGCATGAGAACCCAGAACTGATATGGACAGAGGAATCGAGAGAAAAAGTGTCTAGAGTGGTTTCTAGACTAGTAGAAGAGTAAGCATATGATATGTTCATTCCCTATGTTAATAATTTTTTTTTTATGCACACAGAAATCACATTATCGTGATGTATCAGTGAGAAGATCAGTATTAGTACCCAGAGTGCAAGTGTGAATCCTCCTTGTGGTTCTTATCCATTTTCTCAGATTGTTTGTGATATAGTGGCCCTAGAAGCTTTCCATTTATAGTCAAATCCATGTTAGTGTTGCAGAGAATGCGTCACAATAATGGGGCTGGAAGATATGAGAACTAAACAACACAACAGAAGATGAGGAGACGACCATGTTTCGGTCTGTCCTAGACCATTATCAAGTCGATTGTTGTTAACATGGAACGATTGTCGTTCCATGTTTGTATTATTGTTAGCCATGTTCACAATTTAATATTAACAAGATGTCTTTTAGAGATTGAGAGAAGCTAGTGCAAATGTATTTAAAACTATAAATTTCAATTAGCTCAATACGGATCAAAAGATTAAGTAGCAGTGAATGACCACCCATCTCAGTACAGAGCTGAAAGCTCCCGATCATTAATAAAGAAACTGAAGTAGAAGTTAAGGGAAATAGAAAGCTATAGAAAAGTATTGGTGATGATATTTGTAGGATGGTCAACATTATACATAAAGTGAAGTAAAGAGAGAGAATATTGTGAAGGAAAGATAGCATACTGGTAGAGCAGTTTAGGGAAATATCAATGGAAGGCTCTTCCTCAATTATTTAATATATAGGATTGTAGTAGATTGTGTATTGTATATATAAAGAAACACTAGGATGTTAGTGGTTTTTATTTGTAGATAATATTTCTTCTATAAGGGACTTAATAAAATCTAGATTTCTTGAAAGACTTGCAACAAAACAGTATAAATTATTTATATTTTCATCTTAATGTTGATATACATTTTTATAAGTATTTTGGATTCTTTAACAGAAAGTATTACAGTACTAATCTTTAACTTTGTAGAATTCACTGTCAGCAACGTGAAGATCCAAATGCAATATGGAAATTCCCAGAGGAAGTTTCGTTATCATCGACCTCAGGAGAAGTGGTTGTTGGAGGAGTTTTCCTTAGACTTCTAGTTGCAAATCCATCTTGGGTGCTACGGAAACCAAAGACTTTCGTGTCAGATCTTTTTGATGCTGTTTTAGACCAGCTAGCAAAAGGAGGCAGTGATGTAAGTTATTAGTTTCTGTTGTGTTGTTCCAGACAACACAATAGAAACAACACATTGGGTTTCTATTGTGTTATTCTATTGTATTCTGTTTCAGGGAGTTTGTATCCTGTTGATTCTTGCTGGTACTCTACTCATCGAGTCATACACTAGATGCGTTCACTGAACTATGCCCTTTTATCTACATGTAATTCCTTTACATTTTTACAACTCCTTACATTCTCTCTATTTCTGCATGCATATGCATTCTCTTATTACTCTCCATATGCCATTTTTCTCTTATAAGTATTCTGTAGTGATACGATGCACATCTCGGAGCCTTGCCATAGTTATAAGTTTTATCTTTGAATTTTCTTTATTACTTTGGTAAAAGAGGGAATATCATCTGAATCATATGCTTTCTTGATATTTATTGACTAATAGGTTTTGAGAACTTTGTAGCTGAGAAAAAAGTAGTGATGCTTTTGACTGACAAGAGAGACAGGAGGCAGAAAGGCTGTGCTCATCCATATTAGAGCTAGAAGAAAAAAAAGTATAAAAAAGGATGGTTCTGTTAGAGAAAGAGACAGCTGTAGAACTACCATTATGAAACAAGGGAGGAAAAAAGGTTCCCAAACTATGAGGCAGATTTTTAGCAGTGAACAGAAAGAGCTTTCAGAGTTAAGTGGCAATACACCACACATACTTCTTTTTTGAGGAAACTTTGCTTAGTGGTGCAAAGGGTTGACTTAGCATTGTTCTTTGCATATATAAAAGAGAATAGTTAATTGGAGGAGGTAGCTGGCAGGATCTAAAGGCCCTATTCAGTTATCTTTTTATAACATAACCAACTTGATTATATTTAAGAGTACTTTTAGTTTAATTTAAATAATGGTTGTCCTATAACTCTCTCCAACATGAGAAATTAGAGAATAATTTCCAGCACAGTACCTGATTATACTTGATGTTACATCATTTTCCCTTTCATATGAAGCCATTAACTACCTCTGGATGTTAGCTGTACATAAACAATCATGATGTGATGAGGAACATTGATACATTTTTTTGTCTTGCACCAACTGACCTTTTAATTTTGACATATACTGTACAACTACTGGCAGCAGCCCTTTCCCAGTATGCATTATCAACTCACTTTTCATAGATTTCATATTCTCATACAGCCTTAACACCTTTTCTTGCCAGATCATGAGCCATCTTTTCCTTGTATAACCAAAAAACAAAAACAAAATGTATTCCAGGTGTTTTTGGTATATTTTTTTTTTTTTTTGAGTGATTATCCTATGCATTATTTTGACTCAAAGTATGTACAGTATATACCATTTTTCATTGAAAGATTGTGTGGCATATATTAGTATATAATAAACATATGTAACCAAATACTGTACTTTGTTAAAATATAAAAATAATAACAATGATAGAGAACCTTTAAGTATATTTATTTAACGAAGACTTGGTAAAGCTAAAAGGCGTTGTAGAATAACACACTCCATGTCTCATTCATAGGGTGACACACTTGAGTTGGTGATAAGCACCGTGGTGGCTGTGTTGTCAGCTCAGCGTAATCTGATGGAGTACCTACCTCAGCTGGGTCACATTTCTCGGGTGGTGTTACAGCTGCACTCCAAAAACCTCTCGGTAGCTCGTGCTGCCACTCTGGTAACGCATCAATTCACATTCAGCCAAGTAAGTTCTTGTGTTTATATCAAGACTTTATCTAGAGGAATCAGTTTTTATCGATTTGATGATGATGATTTTGCATCCATATTGAATGCTTGGTGATGGAGAATTAATTATATGATTCTTTACATAGTGAGTAAGAGACAGTAACATCAGATTGTTAGACCCATAATTATTTATTCCTATCCTGGTTTGTGTAATGACTGTGTGTGTGTGTGCTTTATTGCTTAACAGTCTTAATTTTATCAGGTTTGCTTCAATGTCCTAGAGGGAACAGAAGTTGTTGCTGGCCTCGTGTCAGCCATGAAGTTGCGTCCTGATGTCGTAGGTGTGGCATGTGAGGCATTACATAACCTCTTCTCTGGGGGAGGCACATCTGCCACTGCTTTTGTTGATCAGGGCTTGAGAGCGAATGTCATACCATACCTCCTGTCTCTCCTGGAGTCAAAACTTGATGCAAAAGTTCAGAAGCCAGCATCTACCAAAGCTCAGATTGTTACCTGTCTCAAAACTATGGCTGCTTCACCTCAGCATGCAGAAGAGGTATGTCTGCTTAGATGCACTTATTACATTTTAGTTGTTACCTATATAATGTAATGATAAATATTAGATGTCATGTTTTTGTAGTTTGTCATAATAATTAAAAGCATATTTCTTATAATTTAATGCATCATAGTGACATGGCTTACAATGGACATTCAGTGAACCTATTCTTAAATACAGTGCTTAACAGCAGGGTAGCTTATATCATCTCAACATGCCCTTTTCCATTGTATGCACTCCTCCCCACAAATGCTGTTCAAAAGTATATATATACTCCTTATCTACCCCCTCTTTCTCCTCCCATATCATCCTCCAACCTTCTTTATTCTTGTTATCATCTTGCCACCCTTTTCCTCCTTACTGTCTAGCCCTCCACTCTATAGCTCACTCAACCTCCTTTTTTTTCTCCCCTATATAGTTGTAATGGCTTGATGCTTTCTCTTGATAGTTCTCTTTCCTTCTGCCGCCGTCTCTCCTCTTCTTTCTCTCTTCCCACCCTATATTTCTTCTCTTGTCTCCTACTGTTCTTCTCATCTTTCCTCTCTACCCTTTTTATTTTCTTTCCTTTCTTCCTTTCCTATCATTGCATCCCATTCCTCTTCCACTGCTACCCACCTTGTACCTGTTTCATGTCCTTTTTCTGGGCTATGTATCTTATTTGGCTGCTCCCTTAAGGTCTCCCCCTGCCCCTATTTGGCTGCTCTCATACCCTTGGGCAGGATTGTGCTACAATCAGACAAGACATCTTGCATTAACACCATCGTAAAGTTTTAAAATTGGTTCCTTCAGAGCTATTAAAGGTGCTAGGGAGTCATTTGAGAATAATCGATCCAGCCCACAATGAAAAATAAATTCATAAACTTTTCCTGGGCATTACAGGTATCCCACAATTTTTTTTTTTATACTAACTAGAGGTTGGCCTGGTTGGCCACCTACACCAATCAACTGAATTTCTTGTATGAAGAGTTTGCAATTTATATGCTCTTATAGTTAATTTTATTCTAAGATATATTTGTTATTGTTGCAAACTTGACAAGATTCTGTAATCCTCAAATTACAGAAATCCAATACTTGTTACATTTTATTTTTAGTAACTGGAAACATGTAAAGTTTTACTAGGTACCTGGTCATGTTAGTATAATCTCCATTGAGATGAAAACATTTGCCATTCAGATATGTCTCCTGCTCTCAAAACTTATTCCTTTCACATGTTGTTACTACCTGAACAATGACATCAAACAAATTGGTTAGACTTAATGACATCAAACACGTTTCCTCTTGACATATAATTTAATAGGTTGTGTACAGAAGATTGTTTATTTACTACCTTCTTTTCTGTGGGGAGCCCCGTCGGCTCCCCGGAGCTTTACCGGCTGATATGCTAATGTCAGACTTTGGCATCAGTCATGTGTATGGAGTTCTAGGGCCTACCGGGGACCACGAGCCAGAATCTGGCCCCCTCAGAGAGGCAAGGGGAGCAATGGCCTATAGAAACCCCCGTGTGGTTGGAAGCATTCTATGTCTGCCATCGACCGGGTCAAGCATCCAGAAAGGTAAGCATTCCAAAACAAACCCCTATTCTGGTGAAAATTACTACCTAAGCCGAACTAGTGGATAGAACTCTTCAACAGAAAACAAGGAAACTAGTATGACGTCATATGTCACCGCGCCGCTGTCTGCGCAGCTCCCCCTCCCCGGGAGGGGGAAGGGGGAGCCCCAGACCTCCCACGCCGGCTATCCACCCATCAGTTCTTCAGTTCCGGTGTGTTTTTTCGTCGGCTCTTTCCTTTGGGCCTTTGCCTCTGGAGGTCGAGTCGCTGAGTTTTCTTGCTCCTTCGGTTTTAGCGTTTTGGTTGTTTGGTGGCAGCAGTCTCCATCTTTTCTGGCGCGGGGTGGGGCTGCTGCATTCTGGAGGGGTCCAGGGTTTGTTGGTGCTTTGTTGGTTGGGCCGGGGGTGTGTCGTTTTTGTGTTCAGTGGCGGCCCTCCGCTGTTGTTTACGTGCCACGGCGTTTGGGTCCGGAGCGCGTTTTGCGTTGATCCGGTTCTGTTCTTCCCGGTTCGCGGGTGATAGTGTCCCGGGTGGTCAGCCGTGTTCTTGCGGCTAAGCTGCCTGTGTTCTTCCCTCATGCCTGTGGCGTTCGTGGCTTCGCTGCTCTCGCTGCCGTCTGGGCGACATGGCCTTGCGGTCTTTCGGGCATGGATTTTTGGTGTTTGTGCAGGGGCCTTGCTGCTCGTGGTTCTCGTGTTGTTCCCGGGATTTTCGGGGCTGTGGCGCCTTGGGTTGGCGTTTGCTGCCGGTTGTCTCGCCTCCTTGGGGGGTGCGTGGTGTCCGCCTCCCGGTTCTGTCCCTTTGACCTTCCTCTGTGGGTAGTTAGCTCCGGGGAGCCGACGGGGCTCCCCCCAGAAAACCAGCGTTGAATGTAATGAAACGCCATTTTCTGGGTGAGACCCGGAGGCTCCCCGGCAACCCTCCCTCCCTCCGGTCGGCGTTTTTCGCGTGTTTTGACATCCAGCCTCAGAACTGATGGGTGGATAGCCGGCGTGGGAGGTCTGGGGCTCCCCCTTTCCCCTCCCGGGGAGGGGGGAGCTGCGCAGACAGCGGCGCGGTGACGTATGACGTCATACTAGTTTCCTTGTTTTCTGTTGAAGAGTTCTATCCACTAGTTCGGCTTAGGTAGTAATTTTCACCAGAATAGGGGTTTGTTTTGGAATGCTTACCTTTCTGGATGCTTGACCCGGTCGATGGCAGACATAGAATGCTTCCAACCACACGGGGGTTTCTATAGGCCATTGCTCCCCTTGCCTCTCTGAGGGGGCCAGGTTCTGGCTCGTGGTCCCCGGTAGGCCCTAGAACTCCATACACATGACTGATGCTAAAATCTGACATTAGCATATCAGCCGGTAAAGCTCCGGGGAGCCTCCGGGTCTCACCCAGAAAATGGCGTTTCATTACATTCAACGCTGGTTTTTTCTGCTACAGGTCAATGCTCTCCTGTCAAAATCAGCGATATGGCCTCAGTACCGGGACCAAAAGCACGACTTGTTTATTGAAGCTTCACCTACTGCTGGGTACCTGATGGGTGGGGCGCCTGGAGTGGCAGGCTTCCTCACTCAGGGGTCTTCACGACCCATGCCCTCAACTCCTCCATCGGTCAATAGCACTCATAGACAGCCGGAATTACCTTGAATATTGCCTCATGATGAAAGTTTTTTGTTTTTCTTTAGGTTTGTCTAATGTATATATTATCATATGCATGATCTCGATATAGAACTGTAAACAAAAAATTATCCCTTGAAGCTTTTATATGAATTATTTCCACTGGATATAATTTTACTACCACAGACTGTGATTTCTACACTTGAAGAGATATATAGGAGTGTACAGTAACTCAATTCTTTATCACATAGATAATTGATTTCTTTATAATTGTACTTAAATGATAAATTAATTACCTGTTTAACATTGAGGTGATTGGAAGAATTAATGTTTAATATTTACAGTAAAAGGATTGGGTGAAGATAACAATGATGCCATGATACCTAACATAATCTTGGAATGAATTATGTATGTGATGAAAATATATATATATATATATATAAGCACACTCATGCCAGACTGCCATAAAATACTTTTGCTAAAGCTTTCATCGTATCATCATATTGTATAACTTCAGTATGTCTGAAGAACTGTTAGTATGTGTTAACAAGTTCTATTATATTTATTATAAGCACACCAAATATGCGTATGAATGACCATAATACGTGAATAAATATTATTATTTCTTGCACAGATGTTAGGAAGACACATTAAAGCCTGGAATAGGTACTGTTTAACATGCTGGTGTGACCCCTTTCCCCCCAGCAGCTCAATACTCAAACTATTAGACATCTGGGTCAGCGTAGTGCAATGAACTTGACATAGCCAGCTGTTTGGTAGTAACAGGTACAGAATTAAGTTGATTTTTTCAAAGTATTTGTGCTCAGCCTTAATGTTATGGAATGAGTCTTTGCTAATGAATTTTAATTAAAAGGAATAGTTTCTTTGACAGACACCACTGAATATGCATTATCAATACAAAAACATTGTAAATAACTAGATTGGTTCCTAAAACCATTGCAAAAGATAGGTGCTTTGGTTCTTGGTTGTCAGAGGTGTTAATCTGGCAAAGGTTGGATTTCAATGGAATAGGTCCTGGGTAGAGGAAGCCAATAGGACAACCTCATGCACTTTGCCTTTTCAGGTTAGTTGGTTTTATGAAGAAACCCCCTAGGAATGGAAAGTACCTGCTTGAAGGTTCTGACCAGAAACTCTCCCCTCACAGGACAAGTACCACAATATGCCACAGATTTTGTTGGCAATTTGGTAAAATTATAAAAAAGACGAACTATATCAACTTAAAAATTCTGCTTTGTCACTGATATGATTTCAATTGCTCAAGAATGAAGAGGAATTTGAAGAGCTTTAAACTTGCAACCATTGCAATGCCTACTATTCTTAAGATTAATAATGCACAACAATTTTAAATCAAAATATAAAATATAAATTTGATGAAAATATGAACCATTAGTTCTCATGTCTTATTACATGCATATTATTAATACATTTGGAAATGTCCTCTTCAGTTGTCTAGAGATTATTAAATGTAAAAACCTTATTCAGATGTCACTTACAAATGCATTGTCATAAGTTACATATTCAGTTTTTTAATTTTGTCTTTAATGATGTAATGTTCTTATTTGAATAGAATATATTTTGATGTGAACTTAAAAGGAGACAATTTCAAATAGGGCTGGTATTTTATATTATAATTCAGTAATATCCAGTTGTATATATATATATATATTTTTTTTTTTTTTTTTTTTTAGTTTTTTAAGATTAACTTCCATGTTCAGTATCAGTTGCCTGTCAATTTATGCAAAATACATGTGTATAACATTAATACCTATTGAGACCTACAGAGTACAATTGAGTGACTTTCATTGTTGCAAAATTGTATAAATATTTGTAATTTTTCAAGAAATACTTTTATGTATTTCAAAATTACTGAATTATGAGCTATATGAAAAACATTCCATTTAATTCTCATATCATTTTATTTCTCCAATAATTTCCTTCTGATGGAGTATTGTCTTGGATCCCCAATTTGTGTTTTGACTAAAATAGTATAACTTACCAATAGTGCAGTTTGACGATTCATGTGAATATATATATACTGTATATCCAAATATTTATTTGGCACCGGGTTCAACATTACAGTTTTTAGTAGTGCTTGTGTTTACTCTGCTCAGAGTTCCTTGTTACTTATTTATCAGTCTCGGTTCTTATGACCTGATTTGGTTCTTGTACTGGTACTAGTAAAATTAATCTAAGTCTTGCGTATGTCCTGTAATGAAAAGGTTTTCCCTAGGTTATCTTTATCATCTTTGAGTCTAAAATATAAATTTTACTAAATTTGGCTCCATTCTGCAGTTAGACTATTTTTAGTTTATTCCTGCATAATATATTTTTCACAAAATTTATCAAAGACATCCTGGAGAGGGTTCAGGGCATTCTACTTCCCAAGCCCGGCTTGGGGCCACGCTCGACTCGGGGGTCTAGTCATTAACTAAAATCACAATGATTCAGTTTTGCATTAGATCTACATTGTAGTGCATGAATGAATTAGTCAAGGAAGAGATCTGAGATTAAGCATCTAATTTTTGAGGAACAAAAATACTTAAATTTGCACGTTACTACAAACTATTGAAATTAATTACATTTTGGTATTGTTAGATAGTTGCACCTGTTCATAAATAATATCATTTACAAGTTTCATTTGCTGCTTATGGCTGGCAGGCTTACATTACAGGACACCAAACTCAGTACAGAGACTTGGCACAAGCTGAATAACTTGTAACTAATGGGATGGTCTTAATTTATACAGTGAATTGTCCATATTAATTAGTACAGTACTTTGTAATTAATTTGTATTTATAACGTACTTATAAAAATAAGAAATAGTACATATAATACCAAGGAATTAGACTAACTCAATTTTAAATTGGAAAATAAAGATGCTCCACATTTCAGTTTTCTATGTATCATTGAATAGATGCACAGTGAAAAAGATCATTTACGTTTGTGTGTACAAATGTAAGTTCTTATGACCATGCAAATTTGGTGTATCATATCATGTAGTGTGTGTGTGACTTCAGTCAAAAACAGCTTTTCCAGTGAGACGCATGTACTAATGGATGATACAATGATATCAAAATTGTTTGTAAGGTTTTCACTGGTATAAATGGAGGCTTTTTTTCCATTTACTGATTTAGTTTCACATGGCTTAAGATATGGAAAGTTTACTGCATTCCCCAGGGGTTACTTGATTAAAAGCTAAGTATGTGCACATGATAGTATTACATACTTGTAAATACTGTAGTTATTAGGTTTAATTGCTCTATAGAAAATGAAGTTGAGTACTACTGCATTATCTGCAGATAACCAGCTGCATTGAGTATATAAATATAAATAAATTTATATATAAATAAAGCTTAAACTACACATTTTGTTGATATAAGTTAAATTTATGTATCTACATGAAAAATCATGGTAATTTTGTTATTTCCCAGTATTTTACACGACAGTTTTGTGTATTTTTAGATAGGCAATGATTTTCATATTGAGGGTTTTGAAACTTGTCAGTGGACACCTATGGTTCCCATTTTGGAGTGCATGAACACCTAGGGTTCCTAACCTGAGGGTACCTAGGGCCATAAGGGATCTGCTAGAAGCAAAATAAGCTTCAATGCACACCCAAAAAGTTTGACACTGTACCTGTTTTTCAAGTGGACTTAATAACAATTTTTTTTTTATCATGTTTTCACATTATTGGCTATCTTCAGTAATAATGTTTGATTAGTATTTTTAAGTCAATGTTGATTAATTTGATCAGTGTTTTGTTATTAATACTTTGTTGATAATCAGTTCAGAAAGATAATACAAATACATATAGGTTAGATCAGTAAACCATCATCTCTTAATTTTGTGAATTTCCCTGCCGTGTAAAACACCTCCTGCAGTAATGAGTATTGCAAAGATTATAGCTATTGCCCAAATTTGTTATATTTTTTTTCCTAACATTAATTTTGGAATAAAGATCTGCTATGTACATTTCAAACTGTCCTGTGATGTAGGGAACAATGGTTGTAGCATAATGTATATACCCAATTTTTATAAGATGTCTATAAACTATTTACTGACATGGAGTCAATTGCATTGTTCATGATACTATGAAAATTTAATAAATATACACCAAATTTGTGTTTTTTTTTTTTTTTAGATCCTTTCAACCATTTGTATATTAACACCCCTTACACTCTGCCTTTCTAGCCTTCTGGGGCAATATTCTGTCAATTATCCAAGGTTTTCTTTTAGAACCTTTTGTTCTTTCCCTTAGCTTTTCTCAAATTCCACCAAGCGGACTTGTTTCGACACACACTTGCATTCTCACTCTGATCATCTTCCATATATTGACTTCATCTTTCATCATTTATAGACTCTGATCATCTTCCAAAAGTGTGGAGAGTCTCTGATGATATCCACAAGTGACCATTTCCTTATCCTTGTATTCCTCTTTTCTTTTCTTCAATGGGAAGTTTGATAAAATACTGGAATTTTTTTCACTATCTTTTTTTTTTTAAATTAGGAATTTGTTGGTTGCATATGCTCTGATCTTAGATCATGCATATAGCAAGATTTGGGTACTAGGCCTAATGATGTGGAGGATCTTCAACATGTGGTCTGGTAAGATATGTAGGAAAGACTTTCAATGTAAAAAGGTAAAAAAAGCAATACTTTAATGCTTTTTAAATATACATGTTTTTGCAATAAAGTATTTTACACAAGCTTTTTAATAAAATAAATTTATAACAATTTTAATAAAAAGGATAAATAATGCTATAATTTTGATTACTAAACACAAATATATGGCAATGTAAATTGTTAATCTGCCTATATCCATGTAATCAATGCTCCAATTGTCTACAGTACCTACAATAAGATTTGATTTGTTCCTTACCAGTAATAACTGCAATGAAGTATAAAGGCAATGAAATACTTACCATTTTTTTGCACAGTAAACTAATGCTAAGAAACCACAAATTCTGGACTTCTCTATTCAGTAATTAGTAAAGGTAAGAGTAACCTAGAATGTGTAGCCTAGATCTCGGATCCCAGTTGCTCCATAAATATTACAGTTAATAGCATCTTGATAAGGTTGAGGTTGATAAGCACCTCCAAGTATACCTGATTAACCAGGCTGTGATTCATACATTAGGCTGCGTCCAACAGCCTGGTTGACCAGTCCAGCAACGAGGAGGCCTGGTTGACGACCGGGCCGCGGGGACGCTAAGCCCCGGAACCACCTCAAGGTAATCTTTAATATTAATCCTGGTACTGTAATTGAAAGACCTTGGAACAAAGTGTGTTTACCATACAGTCTCAAACTGTTTTTCTCTGAACACCTAAGAGTTACATGTTAATATATACCAAGTGAAACCTTTGTTTACCAACCAACTACCTGTACTGTATATAAAAATGTTATTTTTAAAGAGTTAGTCTATATACACATACTTTACATTTTTTTATGAATACATCGACATTTATGTTCATATTTTCTAGCATTTTATGCAACTGTCAATATATGGCTAATGTACATCTGTTAAAGTTCATAGTTACATCGGTAAGAGAAATCATAATTTTTTCCGTAAAAAGTGAAGAATAAATGCATTCCCAGGTTTACATATAAATAATTAATAGTTTTAAAAATAGAGAATAAAAATTAATTGTGAGTATTTAACTGAGTATTTGTGCCCAAAGTAATTTAAAAGCTAAAATAAAACAAAAGTTCGCATAAAAAGTTCCAATGCTTGTACATATAAGCAAGAGAATCTCGTGCTGTCTGCACATTTCATAGCATCTAGAAGAATGGTAACTGATCTTTTACTCTGCATTATATACAGTATATATACAGGTATAACTACCCTTTATAGTCCACGATAACAGCTATTTTGCCAAACATCTAGTAGATTCTTAATGCATTGATAATGTTTTCCAGGGCAGTACGAGCGTCAGAGGGCTCAATCACGTCCTGCAGAACATCGAGTGCTGCCTGAGCATGAGACTGGCACAGGTCTTTGGCTTCTTGTACACCTCTCCCTGCCATAATCATGTTGTGAATCTGTAAAATGGTTAGCTCAAATAAAATACTAAAATATCTAATATAAGAAAGAAACCTCTTCATCTATTCTGTAATAATTTACAATATCCATTATATACAGTGAAACGTCAATGCTTTACATCTCAATACTTGGTGGAATTTTCTTTATCAAGAAAGACTGTCGCCAGAACCACTTATCAGGTTAAGGTGTACAGATAATCAAGGTGGCCTGCAATAAATTGGACCAACTCTGAACAGGTTATTTCCAAGTTTCTGCTTTGATTCCTATTTTTATATTTAAAATTATTATATTTAAAAAACAATGAATAATTCAGTATAAAAACTTATAAAAGCATTTTTAACTTCAAGGTCCTGAAATTTTAATTATTAAGAACTGGATCTGGCCCTAAGTAGTCTACAAAATTGAGGTTCCACTGTACAGTATTTTCATATACTGTATTGTGAAATGAATGAGCTTTGTCAATGGTCCTGATTAAGATTCTAATCAGGAAAAATATATAATGTACAAACAACAACAAAAATATAAACCTTTCCATTCATTTCTTTTCCTGTGTACCAGTCCATAACTTACATTTTCTGCTTTGTGCTATATCTTTATTTTTTCTTCTGCATTTTTCACTTTTGTACAGTATGATTACTGAAGCAACAATCGACCTCTATACTGTTTAATTAGCAATGGCTTCCCAGAACTGGCAAACCAGCATGTAAAATATTAAGTTTTTTAGTAAATGTTAGAAGTATTCTTAAAATTTTGACTAATGTATACACAGGTAACTTCAAAAAATGCTGTATTAACAACCCCCCTCCCACCAGCTCCAACTTCGGGTAAAGAAATTCCTAGTGGAAGTATGGTATCAGACAAACAATACAGAGAAAAGAAGATACATACTGTACTGTACTTTATTTCTCTACTAGTTTTTGCTCGGTTCTCTCTTAAGGCGTTATATATTGACAAACGATGCTGAAATCACCAGTATTTTTGCATGTAATCTAACTGTAGCCAAGTTGGAACAACCCTAATAGATTTAAGCAGATTTATGCCTTTTACTCAAAAGCAAGAAATGGCATTACTGTACTGTACTTCCATTAAAATACAGACAAATTCTAACCAACTCTTAGAATATAGTAGCACATTATCTCAAAGCTAGGACAAATTTGTACATACCTTCTTGAAATCACAATTTTCCATAGAGCGTCCAGCAGCATTGACAAGATCCAGCAGCGAGAGATCATGCTGTAGGTGGAGAATGACTGGAGCAGAGGTCAGATCAATGGCTGTACCAGGAGGATGACGGTACAAGTCAGTGAAGGGCTGTAGATCACTGTAAGCCTGCAATGAGACAACTTGTGTACAAACTTTCGTTCTATAGAAATAAACTGGTAATGGAATAACCAAATATATATATTAGTAAATATATAATTTGGTGAATAAGGTATGTGTAGCTTAGAAACATCATCATGCATGTGTATTTTATTACAGCATTATCACATACTGTAATTTGTTACTTAATAACACAGTTTAAGAATACAACGTACATGAAAGGTAAACAAATAAAATATTGAGGAATGATAATTTGAAAGCCAGTTGTATAATGATGAAGTCTTGTATGCAGAGACTGTTTAAAAGATCTCGATTGCATTCACTAAAATTTGTCCTATCCAAAATTTTTGCTGCTATTGCTTCATTTCACATAAATCAAATCTCCAAAATTATGTCCTTCATTTGAAAAAAGTCACATTCAGCAATAAATTTCTTCAAGAATTTTTTTTATAAATACAGTACATGTATACAGTATTCGTCAAACTAAAATAATTGTGTAGCTAAGCAAATTACTAGAGATATTTAGCAAGAACAATTAATGAAGTAAAGAAATTTAAAATGTTAATGTACTGTGTTCCACCATATGTGAATTACAATACATTCAAGCATTGAATGTAATGAGAAACTTCCCCTTATAGAAAATTAATGAGACACCTTCTCGTCTCTAATTAGTGCTCCATATTAGGATGGTTTAGAATATTTTAAGTAGATTTAATCATTTTCTTTGTCCGTGTATGTGTTAATAAAATACCAGATGTCTGCAAACCCTAAATCCAAACATGTGTGTCTCGTGTATACATTCTTTTAGGCTTCACAATCAGAGATTAGGGGTCAGAACCAATTGGATGAAAGCAGGTGCTCCTCTTTAAGGGGCCAAGACTGGCCTGCATGATCAAACCTATTCTAACCTTATGAGTGTTTGGGAGAATAGTGTCGAGTGTTACCAAGATTGGGAAGTTATCTAGTGTGTAAAGGCTGATGTATCTGCAGTCATATCATATGTGGACAAAGCTACAATATAAATAGAAGACTTCTGCAATGACACTGACCCTCTTGTTGCTGCACTTTCCAACACAAGAGAAAGAAAGGCTGATAGTGCAGTGAAGCCAAAGTTAAAATCAAGCACTTAAAGTACTGTTCGTGTTCAGTCGGCTAAAAAAACGCTGAGCCCTTATAGTTTTATGGATATCTGTGGTACCAGATCCAATGTAAAGTACTAGTAAGCTTCCTGAAAGCTACCCCAAATACATACATTTTAATGCACCAGTAAACTACTGAGAGCCAGCCCAAATAAATACTACATTTTAAGAGTAAATTTTACCCTCAACTAGATGTTTATTTCCATTATGTCAGCACCATTTTATTCCACCAGGAGAAACACTTACCTGCCAAGCAAGGGCAATCTCTTTGCCAAACTCAAAACCTTTTCGCTGCATTTCCTCACTATGGCCAGCCAGCACCAGTGCTGCTTGACATGACTTTGCCATTAAGCTTCCTGCATGAAAAAATGAAATATCTGAAATAGCACTCAATACTATTGAGTATACTATTATCTCAATACTATTTATCTAATGAGATAAATCAAATTACCATTATTTGCACAGTACAAACATGAATAGACAGTTTTACCTTTAGGTATCCTTATCAGAGATTTAAAAAGCCCATTTTTCTTTTCCTTCTTTTGCAAACTTACACTGCATTTAATTTTTACATCTTCACACCAAATTTTTAATTGGCCTATTCAATGTTTTGTACACCAAACAAATTTATTAATTTAGCATATGACCTCTATTTTGAACTTCTAACATGCTAAATCTTTAATTGAATGATTCTTAGTAATTTGCAAGGATATCAATATTTTGAGATCAGGAAACAATCAAAAATTCTAGGGAAAGTCTGTATGACCCTTGGTTGAATGCACAGGAAATGCCAAATTGCAGATAAAGAAAATACAGGCACATAATCATACTGTTAGAGACAATTATATCAGTCCTCTATTGTGAACACTGATAAAATATTGCCAGTGCCAATGCTTCTAGCATCCAGACCCCCTAGTCAGCGTGACACTGGACAAGACTTTAGTAGTTGTGAGGTTGGGTTGTTCATAACGTGCACACACACTTAATACTTAAGTATTCAGCAACTACATTCTCAGTGACTACATGCCCGGATAGCAACTACCTGCCATAATTGGTATTATCGCTTCTCTTCACCTAATGTTATAAAAAACAAAAATGCATTGTTACTTAGAATACAAATCTCATAATTAGACAATACTGAATTTCAAAAACACACCTACTTGGAACTACAGTATAATAAAACTTCAAAGCCATTTTGTGAAGGCCCCTGGGAAATTGTCCAGTCTACCCTATCCTAAATCCAGCCCTCTGCCTGCCAGTAATTTTGTGAAAATTACTCTAAATGTTCAAACATTTAGGAACAAAGCTTTTAATTGGAATTGAATTGGAATTTATGCACAATACATTTTGTTCAGCCTTTTCTATTGTGCTTCCTCCTTGACGACAGTTTGCTCTCTAACCCAGAGAACCCAACATTACTAAATAAACGTGTAACATAAGAAGACAACCCACCAGCAGCCAAATAGTTCTTCTCCTCCCAATCATGCATGTTGATAGTGGCATCAGGAACTGGGTTACCCTGATTATCACGCTCTCCAATAAATTCAGCCTCCATGAAGTCACTGATGGCAGTACTGATGAGCTCTACTACCTAGAAATAAAATGCTCTTCTATGCAGCCAAATTACTTAATATACTAGATGCATATGGGATTGTAAAAAAATTATTTTGGTGTAAAATATAGTAATGCAAGCCTTATTATTAGTAATAAATGAGAAATGCTTTCATAAAACACATAATTACTTTGTAGTATTTCAATATCTTATGATAATGAATCATAACTCAAATATGAAATAATTTTACTTTATCATGTACTGTTCAAGCATTTTATCAGCCAGGGGAGAATCAATAGCAGCACTAGTGTTGGTAAGAGCCATTGCCTTCCCCCTCACCCCCATTTTTTGTTTTCACTCAAAACCTCAGTTTCGTTTCTTTATCCTCTCTACTCCCTTAGTCTTTCCAGTACAACACATTAGATTTTGTAGGAATTATAATGAAACAGGCCTGTAATATACAGTAACCTCTTTACATCATTTCTGATGAAAACAATAATTAACAAAAATTATTGATAATTTTTGATTTTCCAAGTCACTGCATTTTAATTAAATGCTCTCTAATGGAAAAATCGCTATCAAATTGAACAGGATGGTAAGCCAAGGGAAAACTTGAGTTTACCCCAGTACAATAGGGATCTTTTGAAATGCAATGCTCGGTCATACTGATGCTAAAAAGGCACTGGCCCAATTCAGCACAGTGTTTGCAGAAAAAAAAAAGTAATTCAATGAATAGTGGTAGGTCAATGCATTTGGAGTGCCATTATAAGGCCTAGACCCAAAGAGTGAAAGTAACCTGCAAATACTGCATGGCAACAACAGGAGTACATAATGCACCACTAGCCGGACCAATAAAGAATCAATGACCAACCCTTCAGAAAGAAGCCACAGTCTTAGCCAAATATAACAATGCATCATCAACTGCTGCTGTGGAGTTCATTTCGTGAACATTACAACAACTAGTACATTATCAGTCTTCCTATAAGATCTGAGTTACTTAAATTTGTACCCAATATTTAAATATGTAATTATGGAATCAAATTGGACCTAAAAAATAATTTAACTCACCATTGTGTTTCTGAGTCCAGCTAAGCCAGTACAGGCATTTGCCAGAAGATAATCTCCGGACAAAATGGCAATTTTGTTACCAAATTCCATATCTTGGAGTGTGGTACCATCAAATACTTTTGGGGAGAGGTTAACTACTCCTTTATGGATTAGGTGTGCTGTGTGAATCATCTCTGTAATCTCTGCTAAACTCCGCTGGCTGCAAAATGAAAAAAAATTCAGGTAGTCATCAACTGCAGTGTGTGTGTATTGTCTGAGCAAGGACTCATCACCAGTAAAGTACTGTATGAGCAGGAACTGACCACAACAGTAGTGTACAGGTGGATTAAATCAGACTCAAAATTACAGTACTGTACTTAAAATCAATAAAAATATTATGAAAGCACAAAAAACATGTGGTCATTAATATCAAGTACAAAAGTAAAGCTACTGTAATGCATCCTTTTTCCCGTTAAATCTGGAAACCAGCAACAGAAAATTGTGCAAACCTTGTTTAAGTTTAGATGAATTAGTTATAGATACTGACCTAATAGAGACCCCTGCTGGCTGATCCTGCTCTAGTTCCTCTGGGTTGAGGTGTCCAGCTGCTTTTGAAATGAGTAAAACAATGAGCCCTCGTGTCTGCATGTTGTTGCGCCCATTGTAGATAAGTCGTCTAATTAAAATTGGAGAAAAGTTAATTATTGCCCTTGTCACACTTTCATTAAGCTGAGAGGCATCAGCCCGAAATAAACAAAAAAGCAACATACGTTTTTCAAGCTAAAGTCAAAATATAGGGAACCTTATATTATATGGGATTTATTAAATTTTACAGGAGTTGCCCCATAATTAAATTTTATAATACAGTAAAGACTGCTAAGAATAGTTGTTTTATAGTGTAACAAATAAGCAAAAAGAGTTAAAAATTGGAGGATGGTAAATAAAAGTGCGGAAATTAAATTGCTCGTAGTTTTAAGCAATGCATGAAAGCATACTGGTCCGAAAGGAGAAATGTGGTCAACTGTGTAAAACTCACTAAAAATAGACTTGCCTAAGGTCAAGTTCAATATGTTTTGATTAATAGTTAAAAAAAAAAAAAAAAAAAAATTACAAAATTAAAACTACCTGAAGAACCTGGACATATCTAATAAACAACTATAGATTACTGCAAAGCATATAAACAAATTCAATAGAAATCATGTCAGATTTGCAACAGCTACTTGAAGCAGAAGATATAAAATGCTGGCAATGTCCTTGCATGAGTTTCAAGTGAATACATCCGTCAAAATACCAAAGAGTCAACTCCTAGGTCCTCACTTTGCAGTTTTCAGCAGTGGGTGGGAGGAACCTACAAGCTTTCTCATGTGGACAGCAATATTGGACATCTCATCAGACAGCAGGGAGCGCAGGGTTAAGTAAGAAGTTGGGTAGCCGACAATCTTCTCTGCATCGCTAACTGCCCGATTCCAGTCTGGCTGCTGTTGGGGTACAGTGCTATAGGTCTTGTGAGCACAGCTGAAATAATATTTTTACATTATTCAGGAAATTTTGTTAATTGTAATTTTGCTGAATACTCTAGAAATAAGGCAAGAAAGTACAGTACTGTATATATATATAAAATTGCACATAATAGCTTTGCTTATGTTGCTCGCATGATAGGTTTCTAGTCAGAAACCATAGTCAATTTAAAATACTATACTGTTAATGCAAGTAAAGCCCAATAAAGAAAAAATTAAAATTAACAAGTAAAACAACCATACAGTTGTTTGATGTAAGCATGAAGCATTTATAATTACTTTGAGGTGTACCAATACAGTATTTGGACTCGTACTAATTTGTCAGAATACTGTACTCAATTGAGTAAACAAAAATAAAAGTATTGGCTTAAATCTAACCAATCCAGATACTGCAAAAAATAGGCTGATAAAAAAAAATACAGTACATATGAACACCAAATTATTCCAGCTATGGGCTCTATGCTCTGATCAGGGCAAATTTTATGCTGGTCATTTCCAGTTTTCCATTACAATGGCTGCTCTTAAAGGAAAAAATGGAAGTGAAAAATCTTTGAAAGATGGAGAGAGATCTTACTGTACTGTATCTGTATTTAGGGGTGGTGGAAGTGAATCTTCGATGGATGTAAAGTTAGAAAATTGAAACCAAGTGGATACAGTTTTCAAGTAATGTGCACTCCTGAAACAGGCAAAGATGCTTGAATATTTGTCTCTTCTTTTCTACAAAGGTGGATATAGGAGCAAACGACTTATGACACCTGTTAGCAATCTGAGAGGATTTGGGAATAATGATGTTAGACAACCTAATGTTTAGGGAACATAACCAAGCAAATATTGCATCAGCCAGAAAAATTATAGGATGGGTTACGAGAACTTTTAAATCCAGAGATTCCATCACAATGGTTGTACTAAATTATTGGGATCATCTCAAAGATCTCCAAATGTACTCGCTTGAAAGAAGACGAGAGAGAGATAAAATAATATACACATGGAAAATACTAGTGGGCCAGGTCCCAAATCTACACAGTAAAATATCAACATACTGGAGTGAACAATGAGGAAGAAAAATGCAGAATAGAACCAGTGAAGAGCAGGGGTGCCATAGCACAATTTAGAGAATGCTGTATAAACATCAGAGGTCTGTAGTTGTTCAACATCCTTCCAGCGAGCATAAGAAATATTGCTGGAACAACCGTGGACATCTTCAAGAGAAAATTAGATAGTTTTCTTCAAGGAGTGCCGGACCAACTGAGCAGTGGTGGATGTGTGGGCCTGTGGGCCGCTCCAAGAAACAGCCTGGTGGACCAAACACTCAAGTCAAGCCTGGCGTCGGGCCGGGCTTGGGGAGTAGAAGGACCGGCAGAACCCCATCAAGCAGGTAAAGAACATTCAGAACCCAACCATGTGCATCCCTAAGCTCAACCAGCCACACACCCAAGGACATAGAGCACTGTGCTACAGGTTCCTACTGAATACTGTATAGGAATACATGGTAAAAAAAATGCAAGTTCAGGACCACTTAATTGGCAGTTGTGGGACTGTTACTGGTTAAATAAATAAATACCAGTACATTTTTACATATTTCAAAGACACTCGAGAAGTGTCAAGGAATGACACTCGAGGAGTGTCCTTGCTCTATCCCTGCAGGAAGTTGCTGAACTACATTTTTTTGTACACTGGACTACTGTTTGCCACTAATGTTAGTTTTTTAACTTTCATTTTTATAAAATAATGAAATAATATTACCTTATATCTGAGGGAAAAAACTAATTCTGAATGCACAGTACATTAAAATTGATGAATGAATCTTTGGGTTCAGCTACTACCTGGACAAACTCAGCCTGAGGACAGGCAGTCTAATGGCAACTGTAATTGCTTCACTATGCACGTACTTAAAATTCAAGAAACTGCTAACAGAACCCAAATGCCTAACCTAACATACACGTACCTAACCATACCTATTAATTTATACACGAGAAAAACTTTTTAATACACAGTCCATTCAAGTTGACAAATGCATCATGCAAGTTGCAGCATTAACAAGCCTGGCCTGAGGACGGATCCATTTAAAAATCATCGAGCAAAGTGATCCATATCCTAAAAACTATTCTACCTACATAATCTTGAAAAATCATGATCCTCAAAATCTTCCACAATATCCGAGAGAGAGAAAGACGAACTAGCATGAGTGGCACACGAACACATGAATACTACTGAACACATATGCTAACTGAATACCAAAGCAATGACCACACACACATTAGAAAGATAGCTTGTTGTAAGAGTAAACAAATATATAATGCATTAAACATTGCAGTGGTGGAGGCAGACTCTATACACATGAGCACCCTAAACTGTTTATAGATATTAAAATGAATGATCAACCTTACCTAGAACTATGCTGCTGTTACCATTGCTGATAGTGACTGTTGTATTGTAGTCGAAAATGAACTAAGCACACAACCAAGAGAGCATCTTGCTAAAATTATTTGAATACCATATTGAAATACCTAGCATAGTTTCAGGAGTGTGTGAATTAATATTTATTTGCATTATAGGCCTTTCAAGGTGCTTTATTGACATGAATATCATATACTATACTGTATTGTCTAACAAATGAATTATTTATTATTTTAATCACACATGTTGAGGTACAGTATTTTTTTTATTCCGAGAAGGATTTTGTTTTGGATTTTTTAATTGTAATAAATTACAGATGAAAATATACTGTGAAAAACTGAATACTGTATTCACAATTTTGCTTACAACGTATGTAACTCATTTTATAATGAAATAATACGAAAATAGAAATGAATTGCACATAGTTCTGTTCTCGTCAGGGCCACTAGAGAAATAGTAGCCCTTAGGTAAACTTAATACTGTATACTGTAATAGGAGTTTATCCAAAAACCGTCCATGGTCTAGTGCTTGTGCGTTCAATCATGTTTGTGAACATTAGGATGTGTTGTTCTTTTAGTGAGTAATCCTTATACTCGCTCCATTATCTCAATATGAAACTCACTAAACACTGTATCTAATCTACCCAACATCGTAACATAATCGTACGTTACATTCTTATGAAGCTCAGATTATGTATCACTGGACTTCATTTAATAATGATATGCCTGCTAGCAAGATTTTAGCTATTAATAGCATAATACTGTATTGAGGTTTTTAATACTAACCAATAATTAATATATGAATGTAAAATTGTGTCCCCGAAATGGTAAAAATCTGTGTGCGATCAGTCTTGTGTAACAACTGACATTTAGCCCCCTGTGGACCAGGAGCCTATCCGTCTAGCCCTCGGGGGATCCGCCTAGCCCTCGGGGGATCCGACTAGCCCTCGGGGGATCCGACTAGCCCTCGGGGGATCCGACTAGCCCTCGGGGGATCCGACTAGCCCTCGGGGGATCCGACTAGCCCTCGGGGGATCCGACTAGCCCTCGGGGGATCCGACTAGCCCTCGGGGGATCCGACTAGCCCTCGGGGGATCCGACTAGCCCTCGGGGGATCCGACTAGCCCTCGGGGGATCCGACTAGCCCTCGGGGGATCCGACTAGCCCTCGGGGGATCCGACTAGCCCTCGGGGGATCCGACTAGCCCTCGGGGGATCCGACTAGCCCTCGGGGGATCCGACTAGCCCTCGGGGGATCCGACTAGCCCTCGGGGGATCCGACTAGCCCTCGGGGGATCCGACTAACCCTCGGGGGATCCGACTAACCCTCGGGGGATCCGACTAACCCTCGGGGGATCCGACTAACCCTCGGGGGATCCGACTAACCCTCGGGGGATCCGACTAACCCTCGGGGGATCCGACTAACCCTCGGGGGATCCGACTAACCCTCGGGGGATCCGACTAACCCTCGGGGGATCCGACTAACCCTCGGGGGATCCAAGTCCCCTCTCTCATGCCACCCTGCCCTTGGTCCTCAAAAACCTTATCACACATATGATTCCATTTCTCATCCGGTTACAAAACACTACCACCAGGCTGAGTGACCCACCTGAGTAAAGCCGCCTGCGGTAGGAGGCGGCCATCTGCCGCAGGCAATTGAGGTGTCGCAGTGACCAACCACCTGCTCCAAGCACTCCCACCGCCCACCAGTGCTCGCCGCACCAGCCGCCCACACTCCCCAGCCATACTCATGCTGTTCTTGCTCCACGAGATAACTCAAACACCAGGGTTTATGCTCCCCCTAACGTCGAAAAAAAGATACGTGTTGACAGACGGAAAGGTAGGATCCAGCACACCTCTGCTCTAGCGAGTTTCACAACACACTGAGCTCGCGACGTTTGTCTCACAACTGTTGTTCCATGACCTGCACACATTGCAAATGAGTTTATTTATGTGTATTTTATTTAGCCATACGTATGAATTAATATTTAATAAAAAGATTCCTAACCTCTCCGAATGTAACGTGCTTACTCTAGGATAAATGTTACAAAGATATATGCGTATATAAATAGGGGATAAATATATAATGAATAAACTTGATGTTAACTATTAGCGTATACCAATATCCGAAACTATTGCTTCAAGCTCGTTACCATGACATATATTTTAACATGATGGCTTTTAACATTCAAATATACTATAAAAATCTTCTAAGAATATTCTTCTACATTCCTCAATGTTAGATAAAGATTAAAGCTTCATTCTACACGATAAGGAATTAAATAACCACTAAAATTAAATTGAATCGAAGCCTTAGTTATGGACTTCGGACGCTGGAATGTCAATGAATGGAACAAGAGGCGTACGACACTTTCCCTTTGGGGATTTCCACAAAGTCTATCCTTGAATGTATATAATTGCGACCCACGACCCATGGCATTTCCCTTGCTTGCAGGATATCCTACATTGACATTTTGGATATCAATTAGACATCAAAATATAATTAAGCGTTGGATGAAAATACACCTCACTAAGAAGTAAAGAGACCTTTGATAAGTGATCGAGTCAGTGTTTCCGTCGAGGCTCCTGAAGATGATGGCCCTCAGGTAAATTCATGTAAATTCTCTATAAAATTGTATTGTTTCTGTAGCGCATTAGTATATATCATCGGCTTGCAACTGAGGGGTTCCGAGTTTGATCCTCGAGCAGAACATTAACACTTGGGCACGTTTCTTTTCAAATGATACCTCTGTTTACCTAGCACTAATTAAATAGGCACCGGGAGTTAGGCGCCTAGTGCAGGGATTCCATCCCGAGAAAGGTCAGTGTATATATTTGTTGGATGGCCGGTCCTTATCCGGCCGGTCCTATATAGGGACACTAGTCACCCTGGGTCTACGGCCGCTATAGTGGAAAATCCTCTCTCTGCTTGAGGGACCAGCAGCTCTTCTGGAGACAATGGTATTACGGGATCAAGAGGGCCGGTACTATGTGTTTCGCTGACGGAACTCTATAAGTGGCGTGGCCGCTGTGTATGATTGTCCATACACCATACTCGTCCACGACTACCTGCCGCGGTGAGGCGCGTGTTGTACTCACTTAGTTGTGCTTGTGGAAGGAGGGGGGGTTGTACTTTGGCCCCCGCCTCTCGACTGTCAATCAACTGGGTTCCTGAACCTATTGGGCTCTATCATATCTGCATTTGAAATTGTTTATGGAGTATGCCTCCACCACATCACTGCCTAGAGCATTCCAATTTGTTAACTTGCCTGTCATTCACAACCTGTACCTGGTACAAGTATTCAAGTTCCATCTGGTCTGAGTCTGCCTCTATGACGACAGTTTCAGCCGAACTGTACCACAATATGATTGATAAAGATTAAGCCACCCAAGAGGTGGCACGGGCATGAATAGCCCGTAAACCACAACATATCGGAGCTGCAAATATATATTCGTTTAATAGTACATGTGACTTCATTTAGTCGTTGTTTTTATTATTAAATTCTCAGATAACTTTAATATGCATGTGGCTCGTTGCACAAAATATTTTGTTGGGTAAATGTCCGATAGAGGTTGCACTCGTATTTTCACAAGGGTTATATGTGAGGGTATATATATTATATACGTGCCAGGTAAGTGGCGTGGGTCACAGAGGTGATGCCTCAGTGAGGGTCCCATTAGTTTTAGACATGGCTAGTGGTGCTAGCAGCGGTGCTGTAGGCTGCGAAGACCATCTCCATTAACTTGGATAGAGATATCCAGGTGCTGGAGATGCAGCTATAGCACCCTTCTACCGCTAATACAGGTAGTAGACCCTTACCGAGGTTTTCTGACTCCAGAAGGCCATGCCCTGCACGCGGTGGGTGACCATAGGACCACTGCTTGTCGCAGTCTACTGCCGCTGGTGGTGTAGCATCGTCCAGGGGGACCAGTAATAAAATCCTAGGGAAAATAAGCTCGTGAATATGTGAATGTGATTGGACCAACAATCCTTGTCCTGCTGTTGGCACTTTGTATGATTGGCCTGACCACCACAGTGGTTTGAATGGTGTCGTCCACGACCTCCACCTAGTACAACTATTCAGGTTTCTTCTGATCTAAGTCTGCCTCCAAGACAACAGTCTCAAAGCTGTACCACAGCATGTCGGGGCTGCCACAGAACTATCACTATTAACGACAGCGTGTAAATAGCAACGCATGTCTAAATTAGCAAGGCCAGCGTCTAGAGTGACTCCAGCGTCTAAGGTGAGTACACACCTCACTTCCTATATTGTTCCCGTCCTCTATGACCTACATACTACATAAGACATACAAACCATTTAACACAATTTACGGGCTCACCATAGCCCGTGCTACATGTACATTTCGTTTTGAGTAGCTAAATCTAAAGCAACAACTTTAACAAAAATTATGGTTGAATCTTAATGTCGATGGCGTCTGGTATTTAGAGAGGTTGGAATTTGGCATCAGGAATGGGGCAAGGGGTACAGACCCTCGGCCCTCCTATGACCGTCCCCCTACGATCACCAATCACTTTGCAAAGTTTGGTGGGACTAGTCCCAATCTTAAGGCCAGAAGATTGGTTTTTTTTTGGACAACCACAAAACTAATTTTACTTTATAGATATAGATTACTTATATGTACAGATATCATGCAATAAGGAATTTGGTCAAGGTTAAATGCGAAATATGTCCAGTTTTGGTCTGGAAAAATGTGCCAATATAATACAATATAATAATCCTTCCTTTCGGTATGTCATCTATGTCGAGACCATGAAAACAGTTCAATGTTTCCTTTGGTATGTATATACTCGATGCCCAATTTCATAGTGTTTGATGTCGGTTAACGATCGTATATTGATGATCCAGAAACGAAGTCTTCCTCGACACACATCTAGTCTGACGGAAATGCCAGGCATGAGCCTTTTTTTCCACTTGTTATAATAATGATAGTTATTATTTTGTTCGCTCGGTGCCGACGTAGAAAAGGAACATACATTTATTTCCTCTGGGACTCATGCATATAGTTCTCCTGTCTGATATGATAAGGAAGCTTAGGCTATATACATATATTTCTCCTGTCTGATATGATAGTGAAACTTAGGCTATTAGGTTTCTCTATCTGCTGGCTTTGCAGATAGAAAAAACACAGAAAAAACAGTAGCAAATGCAAGCAGATAGAGATGGACAGGTTGGATTAACCACCAAATAAGAACAAATTGCATATCATATTTAGCGAGGTGGGAGCGAAACTGCTTGTACAATATTGGTTTCGCAAATTAGATATGTGAATAAGTTTGATGTTGACCAAACCGCACTAAAAATTGAAGAGACGACGACGTTTCGGTCTGTCCTGGACCATTATCAAGTCGATTGGCACAATCGACTTGATAATGGGGAAGGACCAAAACGTCGTCGTCTCTTTAATTTCTAGTGTGTGATTTGGTCAACATTTTTCAGCTACGTTATTGTTACTTTTCATCTGCAATAAGTTTGATGTTGGTCTACAGTTCTTAATATCAGTGTGATTTCCACTTTCATAGACTAAAATTACTCTGGCTTTCTTAAAGCTATCAGAATGGTTGACTGTTTTAATTTTGAGAAGATTTAATAAGTAACATCTGAAGAATTTAATGTTATTTGGGACAGATACAAAGAATCAGTTGCGTGGGAGATAATCATTTACGTTGGTTTATGATGCTGTGATCTTATTTGCATGGGTTGTTTCGTTGATAAGAAGAATCTATATTGAATTGAGTGAAGGTCAATTATAGCACATATCCAGTCTCTATAACAAGGTACATCGTTTTTGTATTCATATTCATCTTTGATCCCACTATCTGGTAAATTGTTTTAATGTTATTTATGTTATCCTTTATTTGATTAAGCTGATTTTACTTGTAATCTTTATTTCGTTTTAGTATCATAGAACTGAAGTGTATCTCTTTGTAGTTTGAAAACGCCATAAACGTACATCTTCCTCACCAAGCTGTATAAATCTCACGTATTTCTTCATCCTAATATCGACAGTTTGTGTTTGCTGTTATCGTAAATATTTAATACTGAAAACACACTTTTATAGTTGCCACTACAGCTACAGTATCTAAGTACAGAATCTAAAATAAAGTGGTCTGTACCTTTCAGCTATTAGTATCATTCAATTTTAAATCTCACAGTACAAGTATTAAATATTACCCCAAAAGGTATATATATTAATACTCATTATCTTATGAATGCCCGAAATGCTGCTCGTAATTTGTGGTTTTATACAAATATATAATTACTGTACCTTTATAAGAAACCACTGTAATCTGATATTCTGTATTTCTTATCAATAAATTATTATTATTATTGATGGTTGGTTAACTGGGTACGTTAGTTTGATTGAATCATCTTTTAGCCATGTTTCTGTTAACATTACAAAAGATAATTTATATAGTAGTGCTTACAAAACAACAGTTGGGTATGTTCAGTCGAGGAATAGAAAGACCTCGATAATCCTAACAGCTTTCTTGTCCTCGACAACGGAAAACCATAATTTAGTGCTTGAGGGAGGAGTACCCGCTCGGAACCCGACTCCTCCACCCTGGAAACCCCGTTTTTGTTTTTTACGTCTTGGTGAGACGATAATATCCCTGTGCTGTCAAGGAAAACATTCATACTCACTGAATGTATGACTCACTCCAGTGAGTCTTATGTATGTTCACCTTGACTGCACAAGAAGTATTGTCTCCTCTGAAGATCAGATAACCTTGTGTGTGTATATGTATTTGTATATGATCATTGCTGTCTTCTTATATGTGCTATCAATCTGCTGTATGGTGTCTATTACTCTTGTTTAAATTACCAATAAAGTTGTCAATGTAATCAATCAGAGCTTTAATATACCAATGTGCTTTACTAT